ATTGTCATTTTGATTCTTCTTCATTTTACTGGGCTGCTCGTCGCTTAACCGCAGAAGTTCAGCGGACGGCGTAGTATAAAAGTAAATAAATAAAATGACCAAAAATATTTTAAAATCTGAAAGTTTTCAGATATTATGTTACGCCCAGAGGATTTTTTTTTATCGTTTTGTGTGTTATCTTTATTTATTAAATATCGTGTTCTTCGCACTTAAACCATAAAATTCAGTTCAAGAGCAATATCGCAAAATAATTTAAGAGCATAGCTTTAGAATTTCCAATACACAGTCCAGATCGCTGAAGAAATAAATGTTTTTAGTCCAAAGGGATTTGAATCCCGAAGGACTATTAGTTTCGTTTTGGCATTTTGCGTCGGACTCATAAATGTCGGTTCACTTTTCAAACTGTTGCCACAAAATGTTAGAGTCCTGCATTATATTTGAAGAAATTAAATAATGAAAAATCTGCATAAATGTATGTATATTTTCGTATTGTGATAAAACAACGGTACATAGAGTCATCGAATTTTGAATAACGTAATCCTCCAACGAATATGAGCATGTGGAAGACCCAATTTGAAATTTGAAATTTGTTTTATGATCGATTTCCTATTTTTTAAAACTTTGACGAATTTTTGATTAACAAACTCAAGGATTTCAAAGCGAGCAATGGCAACGTTGTGCAGAAAAAACATTTTTATCTCCAGCGCGTGAGTCTCTGTATCGGAAATTCTAAAGATAGGCTCGTTTTAAAACTATTTTGCGATATTGCTGTTGCACTGGATCTTATGGTTTAAGTGCGAGGAACATGATATTTAATAAAGAAAGGTAACACACAAAATGTTAAAAAGCGCCCCTTTGGACGCAATTTAAAATCTGAAACATTTCAGATTTTTTTTTTTTTTTTCCCGTGCAGTGTTGCCATTGCTTGCTTTGAAATCGTTGAGTTCCTTCATAAAAAACTGATAAATGTTTTACAAAATATGAAATAGATAATAAAACAAATTTCCAAATTCCAAAATCGGGCTTCCAGTTGCCCATATTCGAGTGGAGGCGTACGTTAGTCAAAATTTGATGGCTCTAGGTACCCTTGTCGTATCACATTGTAAGAAATATATATTTATAAGGTATATCTCCTGTCTTCTTAGCGTGCCTTCATGGTCTGCACGCTGGGAGCGTATTCCAGAGGTCCGCATTCGATTCCCGGCGAAGGCGTTGCATATTTTTCATGTCTCCGGCCTCGAAATAACCTTCTACAGTGGCGCACGAACTAAAAGGGTGGTGGGTAATGATTCTCCACATCCAGGATTTGGCCATTCGATCCCCTAGAAACACCAGTCGCCCTTTAAAAGGGGAAGTACATAAGGTATTTCTCCCGCCTTCTTAGTGTGCCTTCGTGGTGTAATGGTCTGCACGGTGGGCACGTATTGCAGAGGTCCGTGGTTTGCTAATTTTTTACTGTCTCGCTTCAAAAAAAAAAAAAAAAAAAGTACCTAATATCTCTATACATTTGTGCAGATTCTTCATTACTTAATTTCTTTGAACATAATACGAGGCGATAATATTTGGTGGTGACAATATGAAAAGTGAAACGCCACAAAATGCCAAAGGAAATTAATAGCCTTTCGGCTAATAATTAAAATACATAAAATTTTTTATAAAACAAGCTTTTATCAAAAACTCATAAAATCATTAATGAATTAAATTGAGAAATGTTGTAATTTATCATATAGTTTAACCGATACAGGAGATTAAATAAATCTTTTCACAAAATTCCTCTGTAATTCTATATCTCGTATACAATAAAGGCATGGGCACCTAGATAACGAAATCTATTAATCCAAATTGCATTATCAAAAGTATAAGCCGTTATCTTTATAAATTTATCGAAACCTTATTTAATATCTTGCTCCTTTTTCAGGTATCTGACTATTTTCGGCACCCGAATTTTGGAAAATAGTACAAATAAACTTATTATTGGTATTATTTTGCAGAATAGTGCTTAAATTGATAAAAATAGGTGATTAAAGGATAATTTGGAGGTTTTTTTCTTGCATTTTGGACTAAAAATATGTTAAATTTCAGGATTATTAGATATGTTCCATCAAATATTTATTAATATTTTACTGTTATATTTGCCACTTATAATGTATAAAGAATTAAATAGATTAAAATCTAAGTGATAGAATAAAATAGCTATTAAATATACCTGTTTGAGTACATGAAGTAACTATTTTTCGAGAAATTTCTCTCTTTCATTTACAAAATTGTCTGAAAAATTTTTAGATATGTACATACACCTAAACCTTAATTCACAATATTTCATAGAATATTTGTGGAAAGTTTCGTAAATTAATATTGTAACATTTTAAGTTAAAGTGTTTTTTGTATTAGAAAAGCTGAGAAAAAAGCAAGTTTTTCAAAAATCTCACTTCATTAAAACAAGTCCATGAAATTCATAGTGGCAAGCAGTACAAGATTACAAATGTCATTGGCAAGAATCTGGAGCACCAAATTGTAAAAGTCTGCACCCAGTTTCCCTCCAATTTTGATGGACAGCACCTCGAGGGGGGGGGGTTCCAAGAGTCACCCTGTCCTTTTCTCCTACCACCAAACCACACGAAAGGACTTTTCGGTTCACCATATATTTAGAGTGCAACACATGCCACGAAACCACTATACATTTACAAACATGCAAGCCTTCTCTAGGATTCAAGCCCGAGGTCTTTGGTACGATAGTCAGACTGACTAATTACTATCGCACTTGGGCGGAGCTTTTTTCTAGCAAAATGCTTTGCCTAGGTGTGAAGCAAACTATCTTTAAACAGTATATCCTTAAAATATTTGAACAGCATACTTGGAAAAGTAAAAATAGGGTCAAATAATCAATGCTCGTGGTTCAGAGATCCGTGAAAAAAGTCCGTTCGTTAAAAATATTATGTAAATACTCCTGTTAAATTTTTTTTTGAATCCGAAGAACGAAAGGAAGGCAGAATAAGATTCCAACTTTCACAATCTAATTCGTAATAAGGAACTAAAAATATTTTGATTGTTTTAAAACTGGGTATTATGTACTTATTTATTGTTTTTTTTTAAATTAAAATATAAAGTTTTAAAATTAACCATATATTTTGCATTACATTGTCTCGAGACGTGGCTGCAACCAGGTTGCATTTCGAGTTTCGATGGAACCTTTTGCTGTGCACTCACTGTCCCGGCTATAATGTTTATATACTAAATAGCAGTTCACAGGGTTATAATTATTGCTGATTTTCATCAAAATGCCGTTTTTGAGGTTCGCCAGAAAAAGAAAAAGCATGACAAAGAGTACAAAAGCAAAGTTTCATGTCCTTCACTTGAGTTCATCAAAATGGGTGGTTTACTTCCTTAATGTGCCACCTACGATGCAAATAATGGGATTGACAAGAAACATCAAAACAATAGGCAGATTTCTTACAAAAAGCATGCAAAGAATACTGAGCATCCTGAGTTAAGCAAACTACCCTCGTAAGCGTTTTCATCAGGAGTCGTCCATTGAGTTCACTGTAGATCTCATCATGGCATTAGTTAATCAGGAATTTTAGTTTACTGGATGAATAATCCTGCATTTATATAGTTCCTTTGGAAGTACTGGCAAAGATCAATAACAAATAAAAGGACTCTGAGCAAATAAAGCAAATTTACGAGACGATTTTCGACAGGTAATTTTCTATCAAGAATTGCAATTCATGCTGAATGAAATTAATGGTGAACTACAGGGATATATCTTGAAAATACTGGTATTTTTATTATCTGGTCAATGGTCAATATTTTTATTATCTGGTCATTTTTAGGTGTATTAACTGGACAAACCAATTACTTGTAGTGTAACAAAATTATTCCGTGACTCTTGCCTGAAGCTGTAACGAGAAGTCATACAATGCAAAATGTCAAGCTTTTGCTCGCGATCAAATGATTTCGGTTTTCCAACAGCTAAAAATCCTGGAATATGTATCATGCATTTCACGTGGGGTTTTGGTAGCTGTATGAAACTATCAGGTAGGAATATAATCGAGTAAATGATATTGTTTCTACCATTAAATAAGTAGTATTCTTTTAATCGTAGTTTTCGTACCGCGAAATCGTTGGGCTTCATCCACCAGAATACCTAGTTATAATAAGATGGAAATCTTGAATTAGATGTTCAATTTTGTTTGTTGAAGCTTTTGAGAAAATCATATGAATCATACCTCCATAGATTTAATGGTAGCAGCAGCAATTCAAAATGGTCAACAAATGCTTAATGACAATCTAAAATTAGAAGTTTTTGTGGTGAATGTGCTGACGTAATTCAAAGATTGATAGAGAAAGATATGAAGAAAGATGAATTGTGGAAGAAGTTGACAACTGTGACAATTAAATGGATTTGTAAAAAGTTGAATTAAATTTGGGGAATATTTTTGATGATGAGACTTTTTAACTTCACTCTAACTCCCGTTTTGTATTTTTGCATTATATGCTGTGTGGTTTTCTTCCGACGATGAGCGATACCTCACCAATCCGACGATGAGCAATACTATAATGACGATGGTTAATACGGTATTAAAAACTGTGAATCTGAAGCTAATGTGCAAAGTGGCCATATAAAAAGTAGACCTAAAAAGTAACTCTGTCTGTTTTGCTAAGGGAAAACAATAATCAGTTTTTACTATAGCAGGTTTTTCTAAAGCCTATCATATGCCCTATTTACTTTGAAAGTTATTACTTATGCCATTTATTTATAAAGTGTAATTATTATTACTTTATTTTCTTTTTCTTTCTTTCTTTTTCTTTTTTTCTACATATTTTCGGAATATTTTCCTCTTTTTGGGGAATAATTTTGCATCTTAAAAAACTTTTCCTTAATTATTGCATGAAAAATTACATTGAGACGAAATTTTAAATTTCAGGAAATTGGCGCTTTGGAAATATGTTTTTTTTTCATATATTATCGCATAACCGCAAACCGTTTCATAAATGCAAAAGCAGTCTTCCAGCTGATAATTTATTGCAGGACAGTGTTTTTTATTCTCTTCTGGGTTGAGTGTAGATAATGGGATGCTGGAATTTAAAATCGCTGTGGATCTGAATTTTGTGCCTTGAATTTTGTATTATCATCGGATACTCCATTGTTCTGACAGTTGTCAAAATCTAAATTGTGTTTCCCGCTCTATGTTCATGTAAACACATTAATATGGCAGCAAGCCTTCCGTATGAAATTTCGAAGTTCAGAAATCATTGCCGACAGCTCAGGCGTATATTACGCGACACAAAACAATCTCTTGAAGACATAGAGAAAAGTGGATACTTTAATGAAGGTAAATAATATGCCAAAAAGAAACCAATATGAGAAACGTAGCTGGTATTTGATTTATGCAATGTTTTCCTCCATCCGCGTATTTATTTCCGTGCGTAGATTGATGAAATTCTATGGATTGTCAGAAGTTTTCATAAATAAATGTGTAAATTCGATAAATATAAATACATAATTATTACTTATTTTGATGAGACGTAAGTTTTTCAAGCAAACAATTGTTAGCAATTTGTAAACAAGTACCAGCTCTGATAAATTCTCAACCATGGAATGGCACGTATAATTTTGTGTAGATATTGTGTTTATATTGGATTTGTTCGACTTACGAAGCATGTATGATGCAAATCCTCATGCTGAATTTATGAAATCTGGAATCGTTATGCTTTTCTGCCGTACGTATTCTGTAAAAAGCAAGAATGTCGTAAAACAAGTGCATGAAATTTGAAGTTTTTCAGTAAAGTTACTTCCTACGTCAGGTGTTTTTCAGAGCAGCTACAGGTGCATGTGCTGATCTCTGTTTACATAAGCCGGATAATTATTTTAATTTGCCGCATCACTTTTGTATTATCCCAACATTGCAAAGTGGGGTTATTTTGAAAGTCCTAATTTCTGCTGTATTCATTATGTGTCTTATATAATTTTGCGTTTACCGTATTTCATGATATTTTTTTTAATACTGTAGTGTCGAAAAATATCTTTTTAAAAGTACATAGAGGAGTGCTTAAGAATGCCATAAGAGCTTAATTTTTTTTTTCCTTTTAATTCTTTTCTTTTTTTAAATTTCTTTTTACTGTAACTATACTCTTTGGATTATTTGGTTAGTTAAATGGGATTTATTTTTAAAATTTACCTGAAAATATTCAAATTTCTACATTGTTAATTTTTTATGTCGATTTAAACATTCATTATTTTTGCTACCACTCCTGAATACAGAGATTATGTATGCATAGCTCAACTACAAAAACCAATTAATTTGTAGTGCATTGTTTATTTGGCATTTTCATTATGGTATTCTTCAGGATTACGAGATTATCAATATGTAGTGCTATTTGGTACCTTAAAAGTAAGCAATTCATGATTTCTGAGTTTTCTGTAAATCTTAAAATTCAGACACATTTGCAATTACATATATCTTTATGGCAGTATAAAAATTTCTCTTCCTGCACACTGTTTAAATATGAATGGAGTCACTATACTGATTATGATATTTAAATAATCAGGAAATGGGGGAGTGATATATTAATGCATACACACACACATGCACTTATTCACTATATATGTCACTGCACTGTTTTGAATTTCTCATAACATTTGAAATTTGTTTTAATAGTGATGCCAAAAACAGGTATCCTGATTTGAGATATATTAAAGTGTTCAAATGAAAACAAGTTAATTGAAAAGAGATTTTTTAAAATCATATTAAAAAAGTATAACAATGTTTTGGTACTGAAATTACAGAATATTGCATATTTTTTAATATGTCAGAGATACAAAATTTTGTCTCAAATACAGAAAATTAGATTATTTTTGATTTGATCTGAACACAATCTATATATAGATGAAAAAGAAGTATATTTCGTAAAATGAATAATATCTGTTATCAAAATATATATTTTTTAAATGTTAAACATGTTAATATTACCATTTTTCAGTTTATTTCAAACAGATTAAATTAGTCAAACTGAAATTTTGTTAATAAGATATGTGTCTAAAATCAACTGTTTAAGGTAAGGTTTATGATAAAAGTCTAAAATCAGCTGTAACAGATTAAATTTGTCAAACTGAAATTTTTGTTAATAAGATATGTGTGTAAAATCAACTGTTTAAGGTACAATTTACATATGTTGAGTTACAAATAGCTGTCTCATGAAGGGTATTTCTAATCCTATGTATTTAATAAATTTGTATTGAAGTATTTTTACTTTTATAATATATTTAACATATGCAAAGTAGGATAGATAACAGAACAAGAACAACAAAAAAAAAAGTACAGTCAAAAGTCGTTAATTCGGACACCCATAATCCAGAATGATCTATAATCCGGACCTGAAAGCTAAAAACTTTCTGCGCATAGGCGCCGCGTTGACACATGCGCATAGGCGTGTGCGCAAGCGCAGAATACGTTTTCGCATGCGCGTTTTATGTATAACGGACGGTATAAGCTAAAATGATCTAATTATCTATTTCAGTTAATGTTGATTATTGCATTGTTCCTTAATCATCGAATTGAATCCGGCTTATTATTTTTTGCAGACTGTAAGAACAATTTTATAAAAGTAAACTTGAACTTTCGATTATGTCAAATAGAATTTCCGATGCTGGAGCTCCCAAAGGATCTACAAAACGAAAGTATGTTTCGATGTCCATCAAACAAAATGTGGAATTGCTGCAAAAAATGGATAAAGACATGAAGAAGGTGACAGAGAGGTTAGTGAAAATGAAAAAATTTCGATTGACAAGTTAGTCGGTATTCTCGGCACAGCAATTACGGGACTTGAACAGCGGAACTTTGTAACTGAACAAGAAATTATGTCTGTTTATATAATTAAAGAGAAAGTATTATCACATAAAACGAAGCAACTTAAACAACTTACATTGAAAGAAATGTTTAATAAAGTAAACAAATAAATACTTGTATTAAGCTTTTTTTTTTTTGTAAATTTTGATACCCTTTAGATCATAATTGTTTTTTATTTCATAAATTAAGGTTTCATATTTTTAATTTTAGAATTTCTGCATGCCATCTTACGAGATTTAAACTGATGATCTATAATCCGGAAAGATCGATAATCCGGAATCGGCGAAGTCCCGACGAGTCCGGAATAACGACTTTTGACTGTATATATAATTTCACTCTTAATGAGTACAGGTTTCATCTGTTTCTCATCCATAGTAGAAATGTTCTTAAAAGTAATTCTCAAGTAAGGGAAACATTTAACAGTAACTCTTCATAATAGTATTATTCAAGTAAGGGAAAAAAAAACACTTCCAAGAAACTTTCATCATGATGTAAGTTTTTATTTATGTTTATTTAGCAAATTAGAATGAAATTTCTTAATTATATAAAATGCTAATTTTTGTCACTAAAAAATAAATTTAAATATAGATATACTTGTTAGATTATAGTACAGAATATTTACTCAGTTTTGTATTTTAAATAAAATTATTTAATAAATATTAGTTTGTGCTTAGTTTACATGTTAACCTTTTTGTTAATTTCATAAAAAATTCTAAATTTTTTGTGTTTATGTTGCTTAATGAGATTGGTTACCTTAGTTGGTGAAATTTACACATTTTGTGATGATTAGAATCTTAATATTTTTTAAAAGTTAAACCAGTTTAATAATAACTCTTTGGAATTGTATGAATATAATTGCTTTAACCACCTGAAGGACATAACTGGTTTTATCCTATCATGAGATTTTTGTCACTTGGTATATGTTAGTTCATAGTTTAAAATATTTTTCTTTAGGCATTTCTGTGGGGCATGTGCCCCCACGTTTGAAAACACTGGGTTAAAGCATCAGTATTCTTGGTTATGCGTTGAAGATCTATAACTGTGGTTTCCAAACTTTTTTGACCCATGGACCCCTTTTTATAGTCAAAACGTGCCCACTGACCTCCAAGTGAAAAAGCTACATAAATTCATAGTATAAAAATTATAAATTAAAAAAAAATTGTTGAAGTATTTATTGGAATTCTAACCTTTGTTTAAAATAATAAAAAAAAATAATGACTTGGATGAGCTTGATGAGATGCTATGAGTGTATTTATGTCCGGCTCAATGTGAGTAGCAAATGCAAAAATTTCTAGTCAGATTTTTTTTTTTTTTTTTTTTTTAAATATGATGAGGTTCATAACAGCACTGAATCCATTCTACCATATAAGAAGACAGGAAAGCAGTCAACAACTTTTGTACAATAACCCATAATACAAGACATAAAATTGGGATCTGTTTTTGTAACCAGAATTTGTGTATCCTTGTTCAAACATTGTTTTAAGTTTCTCATTTGTGATATTTCAATAAGCTACTCCTGTAATTAGTATGGATTATTCTGTGTTTGGGATCTGAGTTTGTTTCCATGCAAAAGGTTTCAACACTCAGTTGGGAATATCCAAATAAAGAATGTCTTTAAATGTTTAGTTCAGGTCTGCATGAAGAGCTGTTAGGTGTTTCTCTATTTTGCAATTTCAAAGGATTTGGAAACTGAGATCATCCTCCTCTTCCTAAGTTTTGTTTGTACAGAAAAAGTTTCGCAGCAAACGCAGATATTATGCTTTTAGTTTTGATTAAATTTAATTCGTCACCTTGTAGTTTCAAATTAGCTTTGTTAAATTTTTCAAATAAATCAATCATATAGGCTATGTCATTTTTTTGTGTTAATTAAAATTGTGTCACAAATCATTTTCTTTGCTTTCTAGGAATCTCAACATTGAATCAAAGAGCGAATAAAATTGATTTAAACAAGCACTTTTAGATAACCAACGTATTTCTGTGTGATGTAATAAACAATATTATCCTTCATCATTTTCCAAATGAAGTTGAGCAAATAATCTCTCATTGAAGGCATTCCTTTTGATTTTATTAACTGCTCTAATGACATAATCTAGTGACCCACGCAAATGTTCACTAACCTTTTTTGCGACTAAATGATGCCGATGAATGACACAGTGTATTGAAAATACCTTCGGTACAACTTAGCTTGTTTTAGTATGCCAGAAAGCCTCAGTATCTTCCTAGTTAAATGTGTAGCTTTTGCATTGAAAAATCCTTTTAATTCAGTAAGTAACATTTCACCTTTCGTATTGATTTCCAAAAATTTAGCAAATAGCAATTCTTGGCAAAACTTTTCTTCTTTTACAAATCTTACATAAGCTAAAAGTAAAACTTCATTTCCTGGTAAAGTGGACTCGTCAAGCTGTATAGAAAGTTGAGATGTTTTTAAGTACTCGCATAAATAATTTTCTATGCATTGAGCCCTTTCGTCAGTCCTCCTTTGTACTGTATTTATTACTCAGTGGAATTCTTTTTATAGTGTCGAAAGCAGCACAATGCGTATTACCTCACTTTCCAGACTTTGCAATCAATAAAGAAATGTTATAAGAAGCACACAGTCCATCATCATTTCTCTTAGATGTTGTCCCTACGAGTTTTTGCAGTGATGGTGTTTTCAGATATTTTTCTTTGACTGTTTTAAAAAACATTAAATCCTCTTTTTTTTTTTTTTTTTTTTTGTTTGTTGTTGTTATGCGTTTTTTATTAAATGTTTCTCGAGCTTGGAAGGTTTCATTGAATCATTTGGCATAGTTTTATTACGTAGTAGACAGAGATGTAAAGTACTATTTCCTGATGATGAAATAAAGCTGTACTTCCAAATATTCAGCCGGCATTTTTTCTTCGGCTCACTCATACTGTTATCTGTTAATAAGGGCAAAAAAGGATATGAGAAAATTTGTATATCAAATGTCTTATTTGCAACAAAAAGCTTTTAATTATTATTAATGTTTGCAATGGAATGCTGTAGCAAAGCCCTTTTGAATTAATTATTTGACAGAGGGATAAAATTTCATGTAGTTTTTGAATAAAATACAATTCTCAATAGTTAACTTCTTTCAAAAAACATCTGTATTAAAAAAAAAAAAAAAAAAAAAAAAAAAAAAAAAACTTACGATCTCTTTCTAGGTTTTTAATAAAAAAATAGTAATCCCTAAATGTTAGTTAAGGGCTATTTGAAAAATATGATATATAATTTTTTTAAAAGAGATCAGTTTTATTCAAGTATGCATATGTAACAAGAATACACTATATGTGTAACAATACAAAAAATGCAACTATACCAAAACTTTCAACTAACAATACAAAACTTATTTTTGTCCAAGACAGGGAAAATTTGTTTATACACTTTGTATCAGCATAACATAGAACTAAATTGTTGATTAGATGTACAACTCTTTTATAGTTTATGTTTATATTGTAGACAGGTTACGGCATATAGCAGCGTTATTGCTTCTCTGTATAAATCTGTCTTGCACTGTGCCATTTTTGTTATTAACTTAAGCAGCTAGCACCATCTAAAACTATTAAATCTTAGGCATGTGTTGGTGGATTTTTTTTTTTAAATTTTCATTTTGAGGTATTATCTCAGTTTTTTTTAATTGTTATTTCATTTTTTTTATATTGTTAGCATGTTGATGGAAATTGAAAGCTTAAATTTATTGAAGTAAATTGAACAATAACTAAGTTTTAGTAATAACATTAAAACAAGTTATACACACCACTGTTACTCTAAGTGACAAATCAGTGGAAATAAGTTTTGTTAATGTTCATTCACAAAAGATATTACATAATGCTCATTATTAAGAAACATACTACATTTTAAACACTCACCTATATTTTTATTTTACTCAGGATGTAAAAATTGCTACTATTTTGTTAATTGTTATTTCTTTTAATTTCCATAATAATAAAAATGGATCACAATTTTATTATTTATATTACACCTTGCGTTGATCCCCTGATGTTGTTCAGGGACCCGCAAATCAATTTTACTTTGCACGGACCTCCTGAATGATACTGGGCACCCCTGGGGCTCAGTAGGGACCAATTTGGGAACCACTGATCTATAGCATTATTGACAACCTACTTCATAACACATTACGTGACTTTTGGCCCACAAAACAGCTGCAACTCATCTTGGCATAGATACCACAAGACTGGAGACAGGTTGTACCAAAAGTGTAAGCAACGATCATGAAAATTCGAGATATTCTGACATGTTGGTGTTTGTTCTGTGAGCTGTCGCTCCATGACATCCCAAATGTGTTCTATCAGGTTAAGATTGAGTTAGATGGCCAGGACATTAATGGGAATTCATCCATATGCTCTTCAAATCACTAGAACACAATTCGAGCCTTGTGACATGCAGTGTTGTCCTGCTGCAAGATTCCATTTCTAGTTGGGAAGACAGACTCCATGTAAGGGTGCAACTGATCCAAAGTTATGTTCAGATGGTCCTCAGCTTTCATGGTCTGTTTTAGCATTTCCCTCTCACCACCAGCCTCTGTATGACCTGTTGTACAGGGAGGGGGGGGGAGAGCAACTGTTCACCTGGAAGAGGGTGTACGCTGCCTTGACCATTGACATGATAAATAAGAAACCATGAATCATCTGACGAGGCAACTGTGTTCCACTCATCCATGGTCCAGTTTTGATGTTCTCAGGCCTACTATAGGCATAGTTGACAATGATTGCTTGGTCAACAGAGGCACACAAGTGAGTCATCTGCTGTGCTGCACAGTCCCATATCCAGCAATGTCTGCTGAACTGTACATTTTGAAACACTTGCATTTGGATCTACACTGAATTGGGCCATCAGCTGAACCATTGTCTGGCGCCAATTTTACTGTACAAAACGGGATGGTCTTCGATGTGTTTTTTCTTTGCTGACATATGGACATTCAATACCTTGGCATTTACTGCTGGTTTCACCATCATTTATCCACTTTGTATAAATATTAACAATGGCAGATCATGAACAACCTACTAGTCGTGCAGTTGTGGAAATACTCATTTCGAGTCTTTGGGCCATTACAATCGGCTCTCTGTCAAATTCTCTTAGATCAGGAAACTTTCCCTTCACTCGCAAAAGTAAGTGCAAGAATGATGCCTTACTTTCTCCAGCAGCAGTTAAATACCATTCCACTTAACATGTCATGACCATCGACCATTCACATGTCCTCCTTGTTATCCAGATGAGTTCATTGAAAAATACAAGGATGGTCATAATATTTTGGCTTATTAATGTATAAAAGTGAGTATAAAACCATGGTGTCAAATGTAAGAATAGTATTAGTATATTGACAGAATTTGAAGCAGCAGTAAATCTTTTAGCATAGAAATAACATCTAAAAATTATTGCATTTATTTCGTTTGAATTTCTTTTTGGCAAGATTGTTTCAAAATTCATAATTGTTAGTGAAAGTGATTATTTTTATTATTTTAATGCATTTATCAGTATAATTTAGATTAGTTAAAAAGTTTTTTACTGTTAATTTATCACTTTTCAGTGTAATTTTTTTTTTAACTTGTTCATTTCAGGAATTTTTTTAATTGTGTTTCACATGGAATTAGTTTTTTGTTTTCTTCTTATATAAAGAACAAATAAATTGCTGCTATAAAATGTATTGAAAACAGTGGAAACATATATACAGGAAATATTATTGATGAAAATTATTAAAGAAATAATAAAGCATTGCTAAAATTAAAAAAGGAATTCATTAAGGTTTTCAATTATGTAATAGAACATCATTAGACAAGTGTTACTTAAAGTAATGATAGCATGACATCATATGCATCTGATGGAAATGGCACAGCATATGACATCAAAATCAAATTAGAAGACAAAATAGACTCAAAATGTTAATGAAATTTTGTAAAATGTTTTATTTGTATTTAATAAATATTGCATGAAAATATTAATGTAACCAACACTAAAAGTTGTATTTTATATATCTTCTGATTTTTTTAAAATATAGTTCCCTAAAATAACTGCATATGCTTTCAGAAGATTTTGGTTTTCTGTGGAGATGGTCTTATTAGGAAACAATACTGTCATTGATATCCTGTATCACTATTATATATTATGTTAGAAATAGAAGTTGTTTTAGAATTGGTTACCTAAGTTTCATTACATGTTGAATATTTTAAAGCACAGAATAGAAATATGCTGTGTGAAACAATTTATTTCAAGGTATTACTTTATTTGAAATAAAAATATAAATTGCATTTTCAAAATAAATTATGATATTTTTTAAAGGGCACTTTTAACTGCACATAAAGGGAGAGCAGTTGCTAACAGGAGCAACTAAACGACACTTAAAACCATCAGAAAGCAAATCACGTTGCATTTATGAATTGTGCAAATGAGACTTAGGTTGTGCCATTCATGTTTTTAAGATAAATTAAAATTTTTAAGATAATAAAAAATTTTAAATTATCCATAAAGAAAAGAAGAAAATTTTGACATAATCCAAAAATAGTTCATTTAATAAACATTTTGAGCTAAAAATTCAAATAATCATCAGTAATAGTTTACATCAGTCATCAATAATAGTTGACGTTCATTTTTGTTGTTTTTTAGTTTGACTTATCAGATATTTTATTTTATCAAGTACAAGTTATCAAACTTGTTCCACATTTAAATATAAGAATGATGAATTTCTATATTCAAGTTCTTTTTCAAATGCATGTTTTAGAAGCTTTTTAATTTAATTTATAGAAACTAATGATGATATGTTATGATTTTTTTACAATATGAAAGGCAGATATTAATTTCAAAAGACACTGTTTGTATTAATTCAGTGCTACTATTAATGCTAATAAAACTAATTAATGCTAATTAAACTGTTTGTATTAATTCAGTGCTACCCTGCTAATTTTTAAAATGATGTTGGAAGGAACATGAAAATAAGAGTTATTTCTTTTATTACTAATTTATTTGATTTATTATTAAAATAATGAACTATTAAAATGCAAGCATTACATTTTTTTATGTATGTCAGAACTTTAAATTATAATATATTTTGTATGGGGATAAAAAGTAAATTTTATAATAGACATTTTACTATGTTTTAATTTATACTATTGAATTTTAGAACAGATACTAAGTATCCAGTTAAAACTTGAAGCTGAGCAAGCAGTAAATGATATCATCTACAGTGCAATTGGCATTACTATCCTAGGACAAGACTGTTGGGCAAAGGCAGCTATAGCAAATGAATTATTTGGACAGAAAATACTGCCCACTGAGCCTCATGATGCTGAAAGTGAAAATCCCAAATTATCTTGGCGTATGGTGAGGAAAATTCTTTGTTTCTTAAATGGTCAATAACATATTACTTATAATCAGGTGTTTATTTTTAAAATCTTTTTACTTTTTTCTGGTAAATCCTTTCACTTTGGATTTTCTGAAAAAGAAAATAGGCAGATAATCAATGATGGAAAAGCATAAGGGACTATTTCCATAAGGGGAAAAACATGCTAATGTAGATTATCTTAATTTGATAGGGCAGCATTAATTTTATGATTACATTTCATTCCTTTAGTTTTAGGATAAGTATTTATAAATAAGTATATTATTATTTAGCAGCAAAAATAAAACTGCTTTTCAAAAGGCAGATATTATATTTAAGATTACTGTTGCCACTGAGTAGTTTAAAAACATTTCTATTATAACGAAAACATACATTAAAGGTGCCACATATTCTCAATAATTTCTCAGCTTCCAAACCCACCATTTTTTTCTTCTTTCTGTTATTTTTTATTAGTGCCAGATAGCTATTTTTATGTACTATATAAGATAATTTTGCTCAGGGCTTAATTTCTAAAATTAGAAGAGCCGGAGCCCTACCATAGACCCTCAGGAAAGAGGAACAAGAAGAAATAAATAAATAAAATCATTAATCATTAAAATAATTAATGATTAAAGTGAGTAATAATTAAAGAAATATATTGAAATTTCTTAAGTGATTTGAAATATAATTTAATCTAATAAATATTTATATATTAGATTATTAGTCCAAAGGGGCTTTGTCCCTGAGGGACTATTGTTTTTGTTTTGCGATTTTGCGTTGAATCACTCTGAATGTCCATTTAACTTTTCAGACTGTTGCTACCAAATATTATCGCCCTGTATTATATTTGAAGAAATTAAATAATGAAGAATCTGTATAAATGTATGTATGTTTTTCGCATTGTGATAAAACAATGGTATCTAGAGCAATCCGATTTTGAATGACGTAATCCTATTGAGAATATGGGCATCTGAAGGCCCAAATTTGAAATTTGTTTCATTATCGATTTCATATTTTGTAAAACTTTAATGAATTTTTTATTAACAAACTCTACGATTTCAAAGCGAGCAATGGCAACACTGCACAGAAAAAAACATTTTTATCTCCAGCGTGCGAGACTGTGTATCGGAAATACTAAAGATATGCTCAATTTAAAATTATTTTGCGATTATTGATCTTGAACTGAATTTTATGGTTTAGGTGCAAAGAACAGGATATTTAATAAGTAAAGGTAACACACAGAATGTTAAAAAAACACCCCTTTGGACGTAATTTAAACTCTGAAACCTTTCAGATTTTTTTTAAAACTTTATCTCTAATTTTTAATAAATCTAATAAGTCATTTTGAATATAATTTTATTGCTAAAAATAAAATTTTCGAGATCCAATTTCTACTGAAATTGTTGTTCAATTCCATAAAAGATGTACTGGATCCTTCTTATTTAGGGCTCTGATGCACTTTGGCTAGAATATAGCTTGGTTGACAACAAATTGTTAGAATGATTGTTTGAGAATTATTCACCTGATTTTAGTCAAAAAATCAGAAATGGGAAAATCATTGTAGAATACTTCCTCTGTTTCCTCAATGTGTCATCTTGTGATTTTTTTCTAATCCAAAAATGAGAATGGTATTGCAATGTTTGGGAAAAGGAAAAAATGTGAAGGTAAAGTAATGCAGTGATTGAAGGACCTTTTGGATATATTTGCAATATTGCTTCTAATGGAGATTGTGTTAGGGTAAGTACTGATATGCTGAGAATATTGTTTTGAAATTTACTATATTGATGTACTTCAATAAAGCCACATATAATTTTGGACATTTATCCATAAACTTTCTGGACAGGCTATTTATATATAAAAGTTCTTTTGAAATAATAATAATAATAAAAAATTCTAGAATTATTTATTTTAAACAGTTTTCTCTCCCACTCTTACTTTCCTTCAGAATTCTTTAATGAAGCAAGTCTGATGAAGATTCTTTCATAGAAGTAATTTAATACTATTATATGTATTATGTATATAAAGCTTTGCATTGGTTGAATGGAGCAGCCAGGGATCTGCAGAGGAATGTATTTGCACCTCTCTAAACAGCATTAAAAAAAAAAAAAAAAAAAAAAAAAAATGTTTTAACCAATCGAATTTGGCGAACAGTTTGCATTCCCCCTCCCCTTTTTGTGGAAAACTTCTGGGCCAACAATTTAAATTTTTTCTCAACCCCAAAGATTCTTACAGGCGGGCATACGGATAAGTAACTGCCGACCGGCCACTGAGGACCATGGCAGCCTTTTGTTTATGCTCATCTTAAAGGACATAAATCTGTAACAGGTATCTGGTTGTTAGTTGTAGGGATTTCATATAAACAGACATTCCCTTTTTGCCCTTTCATTGGGCAGATGAGTATGATTTTTTAATATTCTGGGGCTAAAGGGAGGCTTCTTTGTAAAAAACTATGATGATATTTGTCTTTGATCTCCTTCTTGGATTGAATAGAAAGGGAAAAGAAAATTGTTGCGATTCAATTCATAATTTAAGTCATTATAGTTCTTTAAGTTTATCAAAGTGCTGAATGTTAAATAATTAAAAAAAATGTTGTAAAGTATAATCATTGAATCTTTCAAAAAACACTTGCACGTGGGGCTCAAAGCTTTGTGGCAACCAGTCAGTTAAAAGAAGGGGTCATCTGCTCAGTGCAAATCACTTATCCCCTCTTCCTGCTTGTGCTTACCTCCTTGCATATTCTATTGTCTTCTACATAAGGAAAATTTATTTAAAATTAGTGCTTTTCATTTTTGTTTTTCAATCATTCGTTCTAAGATGAACTTTTATGACTCATAATAGTTTAGCTTATATATTCAAATTTTGGTGCTATAAATATAAGAAAGATGGATACAAGAAAGTTTTTTGAAGGAAATTTTTTACATCCTATTGCTGTCTGTAACCAGAGTAATGCATATGACATCTTTAACATATCATTTTGGACAATGTTAATTATTACTTATCAGACTATGATTAACTTAGTTAGAAACCCTAGGTGCAGGTTCTTTCTAGGCTCCACATAAATCACTTTCCTTGTATTTTTTTTTATCAGACAAAAATTTGAGATGAATTTTTTATCAACAAGATGTGCAGCTCTGAATCATGTGGGCATAGGCAGCAGTTAGGCCCTTTTTTCGATTTATTATTTAACAGTAAGAATTCATGCACATTTCTTAATCTCGATAGAATATTTGAACTTGCAGCATAAATTTAGATGATTTAATCGAAATCATTCTGATGAAGTTAATATGCTTGAGAAAATATAATAAAATGCAAAGACATTTACTATCTTTAATTGAAATAAAGTGTCCAGATGAAATTCACATTGGGAATAATGATTTATGCCAACAGAACGCTGTTACCTACTATTTACCAGATGCCTGTACTTCCTGTTTCCGTATGTACTTTCCATTACAAAATCTTATTTCAGTCCCCTCTATCAACCTTTAAAATCTTGCCATATATATATTTTAAAATAAGTCTGTGTATGTGTGTGTTTAAGGTCTTTAAAACTGCAACATATTTCTCTGTAAATAAGTGGCCTTTACTCAAGTGAAATATTATGAAAATCATAATATTTACTTTAGGAAATGGTGAAATCTTCCCATCCCATATAGTCTATTACCATTAATAGCCAGCCAATGATATTGTTCAATAATAACATCCTCTAGTAAGAAAAATTTAAAAAATCTGTATTCATTTGCTAATTTTCAAGCTGAAATCTCTTTCTTGTAATTCCTGCTTTCACTGAAAAGCAAATAGTTTTCAAGTTTTAAAATTTAACTGAACAGGTTCATCATCCACTTTAATTAATTTAGATGTGCATACTTGCTTTAATTATTGAATGCCTAAAAAAATGAAAAGTATTATACAAATGAGAAGGCAAAAAATTCATAAGTCGGTATTTTAATAATTTGAAGGTTTAATAAACTCATGAAAATTTATTATACATAGTTTTTATTTGATTTTACCATTTGTTTTTTGTATTTAATATTTATTTTTTTTTTCTGAAAAATAGGTTTTGTTCCTTACACCTGTAATACTTTTTTTTATCCTTATTGATATGTTTACATTACATTAATGGCGCCTTCATTCTTTTTTAGCATTCTTTTAATTGATGTTATGTTTTTTAATTTTCAAAATATATATTATTCAGCATTGGCATTTCTTTGCATTTCCTTAATGTACAGTGATTCAATTTCATTTTCTATGACATTTTCTTGTATATCACTTATAACAATTTACTTAATATGACAAATCTGAATAGTTTTGATACTGTTTGCTTCACTGTTAAAGAGAAATTGGTACTTTTCCATTTCGCCGGCGCAAATCTCGCCAAGCAGACTTTATTGGCGATAACATACAGTATACACATAAAAAATATTTAAAAAATTTTAGTTCTAAGAATTTTTTATTTTGAAGGCATAAACATTTTAATATCACTTAAAATTTTATAAATAGCCAATAAATAAAGACAATAAATTTCTAAAAAGACATTAATTTAAGAATTTACTATGCTTTCATGGTTCAACATCCTGCTTCGCCGGTTCATATCGCGTGACCCCAAGCGATCTCATCTCACGCAAACTACTCTACAAAAAGCTAATTCTCTCAGTAATTATCTACATTAATTTGAAGTTAAATCTTAATTTTGAATACAAGTTTAAATGCAAGAAATATTTCAATTCGTATGAATAGCTTACTCAGAAATTGTGTAAAACTGCAGTGCATTACTTCGCTACTGCATTCTCATTAGAATTGATGAATTTAACCCTTGACTGTACCTTTTCTATATTTTCGGCTTTGGGTAAGCGCTGTGATTGCATCCTAATTGACTTAATTACCAAAAATGGCCTTAGACATAAAACTGTACTATCTGATAAAAATTCTATGTAATTATATGCCAGTATTGAAAGAAACAGTCAATGTGATGAGAAAAAGCTGCCACTTGTTTTGAAAATGAGGCGTAAAAGGTTACCAGCGAGAATATTCCGTTTGGCATCGGTTGTACGATTATTGGCGCCGGCAAAACGGAAAAGTACCGAGAAATTTTACCTAATATATAACTGTTATTCTACTGCATAAAGAAAATTATTCAAGGTTAAATCACTATGTGAAGATTACCAGTGAATAAAATTAAAGCAGCAATTTTTTAGGACACCCCCCCCCCAAAAAAAAGGTTATAGTCCACATATTGCAAATTCATATTCTTAATCTTTGTCAGTCTGCTTATTAGTATACCTGATTTTAACTGTAGTTGCATATAACAAAAAATATAATGATAGCTAAAGAACTTATTTTTTAATTTTTAGCACATTTAAGTAAAGCTGGGCAACTTATTTTTTTATATTTGGCATTTCATTTTATACTTTTTTAATTCTGAGCCGTAGCTGTGACATCTTTTATGGTAAAAAACATATGTTTGGCTTTCTTTACAGCTTTTGGGCACTGGTCTGTTCATAAATAATAAGAAAAGAAGTAATTTCTGGGAAACAAATTTTATGAGGGAAAACAAATTGTGTGGCTGATATTTACATAATTTACAGCCATGAATACTGATTAGTGAAATGACAGATATAAATCCCTATGCGTTCAAACATGTTTATGGTATGCATATGCATCAGTTGGCTATTGTCGCATTTATATTAAAAAATATGCAAAAAATACAATATTTTATCGCATGTTGAAAGGGAAGGTACAATTAATCAGAAAGTATCTATAAATCCTAAAATTTTTTTTTATAAAAATGAAAATTAATCTTGCAATATAAAACAAATTAAAGAAAGTAAGGAAAAAACTCAAATTAGTCTACTTATTTGATATTTGTGAAAAAACTTCATAATTGCTAAATTTCAGAAAATCCCAAAATTTACAGAAACTTGCACCAGAGTAAAATTATTGCCTTAAACATAAGTATCAGTAAATGTATATTAACGATTAGCTGCATAGTTTCACCATTGATTATTTTGATTGATTATTGATTTCACAAATTTACCATGAGTATTTGTTTGCAGGGTAAAATTTGCCATTATAAATGAGGGGAAATATGAAAATAAAGTAAATGTTTTTTGGCTTGCACCTCCATTTACTTAGTGTTTTAGTTTAATTAGATTAAGTAGATTTTATTGCAGGAAGTAAAATTAATTAATAATGTGATTAAATCTATCACATTTTTACCACATAAATATGATTTTTTAATTTATTACTGTTATTTTAAATCTATTGATACATAGAATGTTTTTCCTTACATGTTACTTAATTTATAAAAATACAAAATTTACTTAACTGTATAAAAAAATTCTATGTAAATTATTATTATTATTACTTTTTTGTATTATGTGTTAAAAAACTTTGTTTTTCTTGTTCACTTTAAGGTACGATTTATGTATGGAGTCCAGACACAAGTTACCTTAGCTCTTCCTAATAGTTATGAACTGTTAGAACATCTTGTTTCTCATGACCAACAATGGCATACTGTTCCAATTGAGGATCTTGCACTGAAAGTATGTATGCTTATGTTATGTTTTTTTTAAACCCCTTTACAATGGATGTATCATATATCTAGCAATATTACAATGGGTGTATCATTCATCAGTTCTTAATGCTCTTGCCTGATGGCATGCCACTTAGTGCAACTCACCTTGGAGATGGTATGTTACTGTAGTGGTATGATCTTGCAAGACTGGGGATTTCATGTCGTTAAGCTTGATTTTAAAAGAAATTCATTAAAAATATTTTTTTTATCAATTGTTTTGATTTTTTCTGTAATGTTATCAAACAGTAATATAATCATAAATACAAACTATCAAGAGATTCTGGAAAAATTTTTATTAAAATCTAAATGCAAATAAAATATTTGACTCATCTTGATGAAATGTTGTAAAAAACTTATTTAAATCTATATCTAAACATACATAAAAATAATAAAATATATGATTATTATAGCATAAATCATTGAGAAAGGAGACAGTGTGTGATAATCTAGTTGCTATCATTTTCATTAGTTATGAAACACATTTTCAGGTTGAACTGTTTAATTAGTCCTAGCAGAATATAGTGGGTGATCGGTTAATGAACATAATCTGTTACAAGACTATGTTCACGATCCGAATTGTTCGTTAACCAATCATCGATTTACCATAGATTTTTTTTTTTTTTTCTGTGTGAAATCGATTAATTTGTTCTGGTGACCCTAAAAATTAAATTTAAAAAAAGGTGTTTAATTTCTTAGTAAGTTTATTAAAAAATAATACATACCTATAGTCTTGCATATTAACCCCTTAACTGCCGTGGGCGTATATATACGCCTTGCTCAGCCGATGCGTTAACTGCCCCAGGCGTATATATACGTCCTTCCAAACTGCTATCATTTGCTTTGCGCTGCTACACCTAAAATTATTCGCAAAGTTAACGCATCGGCTGCGCATCTGGGCGCATCTGGGCGCATCTGGGGCAGTTAACGCATCGGCTGAGTAGACCATCAGTTTCGGTTTTGATTTCGTTCAAGTGATCAGGGAAACACCCCTGAAATTATGGATGAATACGCCCGCGGCAGTTAAGGGGTTAATAAGTCCTTTTCATTTTTTGTTTATGAGGCGTTAAAGAACATGCTCAATGTCGATTGCTTTTCTATTTTTTTCAGGATTTTCGGGCAGTGGTTAATAGCATTGTCATTGTAAAAGTCCCCAACCCTACTGACATCAGCTTGGTTTGGGTGACATTTTAAGACCATTGCTCTGACATCCTCCCACTTCTTCAAAAGGTCTTTAATGGCAAATGTCGGCATTGGTCCTGTTTCATCTTTCTCTTGTTCAGAAGGAGACACATTTCGCTGTGTTTCTTGTTGTTCTTCATTCAAGATTTGTTGGAGATGTGTTGTCAGTTCATCTTCATGTTTCATTATGAGCTCTTCTATGTAATCCTCGTTCACCTCCAATTCCAGACCTCTAGTAGTTGTCAAAATTTCATCCATAATTTCAGAGGTGTTTCCCTGATCACTTGAACGAAATCAAAACCGAAACTGATGGTCTACTTTGGCTATAAATATTCTATTGGAGGGGGGGGGAATCCAACATAGAAATTTGAAGTTTAATAGACAAGCAACATAATTCAAGAGAGATGAAAAACGATTTTTGGTCCATTGGATTTGGCAACACTGCACCTTATCCGAGAGCTGAGAAGTGTTCGTTAGAATTCATTATAGTTTATTATCTGAATGTGTGTTCATTGTTCGAACACAAAAATCTTTTGTGAAAGTGTTTGTTGTCTGATTTGTTCGCTGTCCGAACTGTTCGTTAACCGATCACCCACTGTAATGAATCCTAGGAATCCCCTCATTTTAGGCACATCTACAAAAAATGTTGATTTTGGATGAAGATGGGTTTTTCACTCATCTTTTTTTCTTAGAAATTATTAGTTTCTTCAACTATTATGTTCATCAAACAAATTATTAAAAAAAAAGTGAAAAACTCTCTTTTATTCTTATAACTTTGAATTAAGTTTACTTCTGCAATTTCCCCTAAATTATTAAGGCTTCAATTACTTAACAGATTGAGTTCATGATGGAGTAGCCTCTGTTCTGCTGGATTGTGAGGTGGAAGCCAAACAAACTCCAGTTCAGTCTCTGACAAAATTTCATATTGAAATCGCTAAAGAGTCTTTGGTGTCGAAATGGTCATTCATGGGTTTTACAATGCAAATATACTCTTCTTTCATTAAAAACTTCTTTCTCTTAGATATTACACTATTAGTTTAACTCTTTTAATTGATGCAAAAAATTTAGTCTGCTATCTAAAGAAGATGCAAACTGAATATAAACCAGAGTTCCGGAAACCACAGCTCCGCTCCAAATCTTCCTATAGAAAAAAAAAAAAAAAAAAAAAAAAAAAAAAAAAATTGAAGCATGAGAAATTATTCAATGTTTATATCACTTGAAGCCTCAACTGTGGGTCAGTTTGATTTTGTTTACTTTATACCAACTTGTACATCTAAATGAATCACCAGAAAGTACTTCACGGGCACAAGGTCAACAATTTATATGTTCAAATAAGCTAACTGTAATGGATAGGAAACGCCATGTAGTGATATAAAAAACATTCTAAAAGAACATGTATTTTTGAAAGTGCATATATGACACACCCATCTGCAGTGGGTTTTCAGTTCAGCAACATGCTGTCGGGAAGGGGATAATGTTGAAATGCTAGTAGTTGTTGCACCGTTATGTATTGGCAGTACATATTCTTGTTACTTCCTTGTACGAAGTAAAAAAGGAAGTATTGTAATCGCGAAAAGTTTCAGGCAGCATATTTCAACGAAAATATCCATTTTGACCGCTATCGAATGCAATTCAACGATGTTTTTGCGTGATATCTGTACGTAAGGACAGAATAAAAACTCTTTTTCCTTCAAAAAAATTATAAAACTGCTTTAAAATAATTCTGAGAGAATTTTTCGTGGCGTCTGTACGAACGTATGTACATGTGCATATCTCGCTAACTAAAAACCAGTAGCCTCAAACGTTCAAATTTTGTATATAGGACTAGTATAACATGTAGATGTGCACCTCGTATTTGGGTTTCAATCAGCCGCACCAAATGTATATATATATTTATATATATCCACTCTATTACCCGGCTCAGTGATCTCAGTTTCTTTACTCTTATATGTTTGTAAATTGTACATTATTTTCTTTAAAAATGAATTGAATATTTATTTTTATCTTCCGGTTAAGGATTTTATGCCTTTAGTAAATCTGTGTGCAATATTTTTTGAATTATCAGCAATTTTAAAGTTGTTTATGCCGCTAAGCCTGTTTAAATGGCGGCCATTGATGTTTACATTTGAAACAGGAGACTAGTGGATTTGTTGCCAATCTAGAGAAACTTAGCTTCGCAACAACAAAGATAACGCATTCATTTATTATTGGCAATTAAATCATGCTTAATTCTTTCTGGAATTTTTCGAGGAAATAAGCGTTTGAGATTTACTTCGTAATTTTTAATATAGATATTTTGAGTTTTTATGTATTTTTGCCTTCTCGCGAAGTGAGAACTGAATTAATTAAATGAGAAATACTCAATCGTCTGTGAAAAACTGTTTCTTTTTTGTTTTGTTTGCTTAATTTCTTTTATACATCAGTTCTAGCTTTATTATAGTAATTTGAATAGAACATGTGGCAACGATTAGATAATTCTTAAATGATATACAATTTTGTGCATTCTGAGTTTAATATGAACGAATATAATACTGTTAAGTAAACCTAGCGCCAGAGTGTCGCTATGGTAAACAAAGTGAATTTTAAAGAATGCATTTATTCTATTGTGGTTTATGCGCTGTTCAGCGAAGTAGGTTTAATTAAATCTAATAAGTTTAAATAAAATGCAAGAAAAAATGCATATAATTTAATATTCCGTACAAGGAAGTCGTGGTGTACACATCAGATTTTTTTTTTAAGCGTATATTTTCATATTATTTTAGTTTTTTTTACTGTACTTTCACATAAACATGTAGTTTAATTTTGTAGTATTTTATATTCTTGTATTTTATTTGTTGTTTGATTTTTTTTGTATTATTAATGATGATAAGTATTTATTTTCACTTTTTTTTTTATTTATTGCATTTTTTAATAAACGCCTACTTAATACACATAATTCAGTTTCATCGCATTTCTACTTTCTTCTGAAGCAAGAGTTTTCCGCAGAGTTGGTATTGACCGCCTGGGGGGTCGAATGGAATTTTAAAAGGGTTTCCAGTGGTGACCAGGGATGTGATTGGGGTCGATAGCTGAATTTGTACTGTTAGTTGATTTGCATAATGAATATCTCATTGATTAAAGAAAAAATATGAAATTAATAATTAAATTTAATTGCATATTGATTTAATTCAATAACATGCAAAGTCAAATCCTATTTAAAACACAAACACATCAATACCCAAAGTTTTGGAATTGAAAAGTCATCCAGGAGAAATATCCCAAAATACAAATTATCAAACCATCTTTACTAACTTTCCCTTGCTACCTAGTAGAAGGAAGCTTTAGTCTAGTCAATAATATACTATGGAGAACTAGAAATAATTTGAATTATTTTTGAATGAGGTGATCTAAGAATTAAATTAAGCAGATTTATAATTCAGCTCCAAAAATTGCATCCCATGCGCATTAGTTGCAATAAAATTTTTGCACGGATCAAATGTGTATCCCCCTGGAAACTTGTTTATATTTTTAAAATTAAAAGCAATAATAATACAAACAAAAATTCAGAAAGATTCCCAAAGGATTTCCCAGAGGATTTTTTTTTAATGTTTCATGTGTTATCTGTATTTATTGAATGTAATTTTACCATGTTCTTCGCACTTAAACCACATAAAATTGAATTCAATAGTAATATCACAAAATACTTAAAAATGGCTTTAGAATTATCTTTAGAATGTTTAGAATTTCCGATACACAGTCTCGCACCCTGGAGATAGAAAGGTGTTTTTCCCATACAGTGTTGTCACTGCTTGCTTTGAAATTGTTGAGTTTGTTATTCAAAAAGTCATTAAAGTTTAACAAAATATAAAATAAATAATAAAACAATTTCAAAACTTAAAAAAATTCGGGCTTCCAGGTACGCATGTTCGGATGAAGGATTACGTTATTCAGAATTGATGGCTCTAGGTACTCTTGTTTTCTTAGCAAGAAACATTGCGCAGATTGTTCATTATTTAATTTCTTTAAATATAGTATAGTGTGATAATATTTGGTGCCAACAATTTAAAAAGTGATATGCTGTTTATAGTGAACCGATCCAAAATGCCGTTTCAAGACTAAATAGCTCTTCTGAGCTAATGCTCCTTTGGTCTAAAAATAATTAAATGCTTAACAAAAATGCCATAAATCTAAGCATTGTTAGCTTCTTAAATATTTTATTCTTCTTCATTAAAACTAGCATAACACTGAATGGTATTATAATAGAAAATTTTATTGTCAAAATATTCACTTTATAAAAAGAAAGCATTAGCAGTCATGTAAAAGCCTTTTAAAACATTGCTTATCCTTATATTTTTATCATTTAGCAAAACTGCTAACTGTCAGTTATCAAACTGCTTTAGTTTTTCTAAAAATCGCTTTCTTTTTATAAGCTTTTCCTTACTGTTGTCATTTATCATTTTCTGAACTATGTTTTTCCATGACCACATGCTTGAAAACCGTTGGCTTACAAATGTAAATCTAATGAACAATTTTTTTTAAAACTATTCATATTCTTAGTCTAATTGCTATATTTATGTTTTATGTTTTATTATTTGTAGTAAGATTATGTTATCTGCTTTATTTTGAGAGAAAAATGCAAGGGGAGCGATGAAACAAACCATTCTTTTAAATCACTATTCTAATTTTTTTCCATTGAAAAATTATTATTCTTTGTTTTTCATGATTTACATTACTTAAATCTACTAAGGAATATAAATTTAAATGTACCATTTAATTTGAGACTTGCCTGCTTCGTATTTTACTTTAGGCCAGTTTTTAATTTAATGAAATCTTATAAATTATTTTAATGAATTAAATTAAATTAATTATTTAAAATTTAATGTATTCTTATCATGTATAATATCTGTAGGTTATGTAGACTGACAGAATTACTTTTTGAACTTGAATGTAATTATTATGTAAGTGGCAACAATATACAGTTGTATTTGCATTTTGGATGACATTTAGTTTTGCTAAATGGATTGCTTCTCTTAAATTCTTCCTTTCAGTAACTATATTTTTTTATCGCAGAAACATGAAATAATTATAGAGATTTTTATTTAAGTTTAATTAGTGTTTTCTTATAGGGTAAAGATTCTGAGGATCCAGCCTTTGAAACTGCTGTTCTTGATATCAAATTAAGGCATCAGTTGCTAAGAGATGATGTTGTGGTAATGGTTTCACCTACAAATGTGAATGCAAGTTTTGAACAGATCATGGCTGTCTGCATGGAAGGTTACACACCAATTGTGATATATGCTGTTGCAAATAATACTCTGTCACAAAAAGTATGAAATATTAATATTCCTTAAAGCAGTAGGATAACTAAATCATAAATATTTATTTAGTTGCATAATTATCTGTATCATTAGTTTAAAAATCATGTTTTTTGTTAGAATAGATTTTGTAGGCTTAAGAGAAAAAAGTGATTGTAGAAGCATTTTTATTTCAGACTTCTCAGACCATTAACATTGCATTGTGCTACAGTGCCATTCTGTGCTACCTAGCCAGTGTGGCCAGTGCTTAAATAAGGGGATTTAGTAAATTATTCTGTATCTTTATTTACATGTAATTTAATTAACCTGCTTTTAACTTGATGTATTCATTGGGAATGGCCTATACCTTTGATTATGTAGCTGTCCTGCCACTGACCCCAACAGGATTGTTGCGTACCAGATTTAAGTTGCTGGAGCTTTCTTTTTTTTGTGTCAAAACTTAGATTTTTGTTTTTTATCTAAACTTACTTCAGTTATATTTTCGTTGGAAAATCACAAAATAGTAGAAAAGCAGGAATGAACTAACGTAAAAAATAATGTGCTAATTCCAACTAAACCTTAACAAATTTGGACTTGAATGCAATAATGTGACACTGTGTCTTTGCTCACTACAGTAATGTAATTTGCTACAAAATAACATAATTTTATTTTACACCCATGTATTCATAGCACCAATAGGTTTTTGAACTAAACTGAGCCCTAATTATTACAGAGATAGCATTCCATTATCTTTTTGTTTAGTATTTTTCTATGCTGTAAATTCTTATTTAAAACTGAAATATCTTTTCTTTTTAAAATCTGATTAATTCTCTATTACTTAATGTTAAATTTAAAACAGTTTTAAAATTAAGCTTTTAATTCAGTTTAAAATTCGTACTTATTAAGCACCATTTATTGCATGTTCTATTTCAGGAAATTAAAATTATTCTGCAGTATATTTGATAAAATTTAAAAAGGCAAGTCTAACCAGGTGTTATGATCAAGTTAAACATGTTCGTGTAAAACATGTTCCAAATTGTTCTTGCAACCACTCTGTTTTACTGGAAAAATATATTTTGATTTAATTTCCTGTCACTTTACTTAAATATATATTGCATCAGATAATATTAAAATTTAGTGAACAAAATCAAAATTGCTGATATATATTTAATTCAATGTTAATTATTTTTCTATAGGAAGTTACAGAACTTATGGAATTGAAGAAAAAATATCCAAAGCTACCCATATTCTTTATTTGTGTTCCTCCACCAGCTTCTGAACTCACAGAATCAGAGCAGCATGCACGAAATATAACTTTATATGGGCGAAGGCCAATGTTCAAACCACATTCTTATCATGAGACTTCTCCTATTTATCAAAATACTGTTCTGAAGCGAAGAGAATCTCTTGATTCTAAGTTAAGTTCAACATCTTTAACTCTATGCCAACAGTTATGCGGGTTAGGATTTTTAAACATGTTATCTCCAAACTTGAAAAAGAAATTGTGCAGGCAGCAGAGTGGGGCAATTGAAGTTGAAAGCAAGTTGATAGAAGATTTTGATAACTTTTCAAGGTATGTAATCTAATTTCAGTTTAAAATTTTTAATTAGAGCTTTCAACTTATTCTGTCTTGAAATGAAAATTAATTGTATCATTTGTCATTTTTCTTAATGATATTTTTTTGTATAACTCCCTGTATTTATATATTTCAGCATTTTGCTTCATATACGTCAAATTCTACAAGCAGAATTAGTACAGGTTGCAACAACACTGAATGAAGCTCACAATACATGCTTGCGCATGTTTATTTTAAGTGCTTTTGATATGACATGGGACATGTTAATTACTCCTAAAAGAATTGCTTACGCTAGGCAACGTGAAACTGAGCTTTATGAATCTTTAATGTCTATTGCGAACTGTAAACAGGAAGAGATAAGGCAGCTTATAGTTGAATCAATTGATGGTATGACAGAGGAATTATTGGCTAAAGCTTCAGAATACGAATTTCAAGGTATTTTTTTAAAAATATTTTCATATTTGCACATAAAACATATATTAGATATTATTACATAACTATTTATTCAGATAGTACCTTAACAATTTATATTTCAGCTGTTAACAAACTTAATGTAGTAATATTTTCATATAATAAGTAATATAAATTAAATTTAAAGCTTTTATGTGGTGCCAAACTGATTATTTCTTTTTGTATTAAGGAGATGAAACTGTTGTAGATAGTTTTTTTTAGTAGAAGTGTTTGATAACTGCTATTTGTGTTATGTTTCAGTAAAAACTACAAAAAAAAAAAAAAAAAAAAAAGGGGGGGGGGAATAAACTAAGGAAAAGATGTAAACATTTATTTCATATGTAGACTTAGCAAATATATTTTTATATATTTACCAGAAAATGACCAAGCGATCAATTTGCATAAAAAACATTATATTTTTTATGCATACGTAGCCTGTTAAAATATAACCCATTTTCACAAAATAGTGATTGGTTTAAATTTAACATTATGGGTTTGAATATATAGTATAAAACTTAAAGTTGTAATTAAAAAAAAAAAAACCCTCTTTATCTATATATCCAAAGCATTTAATGATATTTCCTGATTATCTGCATCCCTTTCCAAAAAGTCATTTTCACCATAATATGTGAAAAGCAGCAGCCATTTTTAAAAATAATAGTGCACTCCACAAAAGAGAAATTATTCGGTAATAATAGAAGAAAAATAAGAAATGTTTGTAATGAAACAATTTTTTTTTCTAGAAACCCTTATATATTTTTTGGGGGGCACTATTTTAGTGTACTAAAACATCATAGAATTGCAGAAATTTAGCACACACCATTGTTCTGCTGATATGCTCAGTCATCTGTTTTTGCTTAAAAAAAATTGACAGAATTACACAACTTCAGCATCATGGTCGAATTTCCATTCATAAAATTCTGTCATTTAAGCAGTACAGTTTTATAGAATGTAAATTTTTGCATTTTCTACTACTATATTTTTGTATTTCTTCTTTTGTTAGAGTATGGTGTTTGTCATGCAAAACACAATTTTTCTGAAGAAATAACCCCCCCTTTTTTTTGGCCATCAGCTGGCAACTCCACAATTCCATTATGATTAATTACAATGGGGAAAAAAATGGATGCAAAAACAAACACTATAAAAAGTGAATGCTGAATTTGAAGGTGGAAATGACTCACTTGTAAGCTGCAGCCACACATTTGTGGATTGCAATATCAATGCATTTTGGTGACATAGTGTGTCACGTCATGAACACTTTGCAAGGAGCTGTAGATAATCACAAAGAACCCATTTAATTTTAGCATTTTTTTTTGTTGAATACTTGTATTCCCTTTATTATTTTTATTCAGTGTATTCAATTTGTACTTGCATTTTTGTGTTAGGATATCATTCATAACTATCTGGAATTTATTATTTGAAACATATTTTATGCAGATTCTTGATTAAGCTACCCGAACGTGGCAGGTGTTCTCACCCTTAAGAAACTTTCCAAACATATGATTTCACCTTACTTCTCTTGTTTATGTTCCAGCTCATTCTAGTCTCATCTACTGTTGTTGTGTTCAATCTTTCGAAATCCAGATCTTTTCTTTGTTCCCCTCTCCTTCATTCCTCCATGTTCCTCTTGGGAAATTCAGTCAAGACTCATTCTTATGAGGTGCTTCTGGGCTTTATAAAGTAATTGAGCAAGAGCATAACATGTACGGCTCAATTACCGTCAATTATTGTAATGCTAATATTGCTGTGTATTCTTATTGGAATGTAGGTTTCTTTTAGAGAAATAATATTATGGTAGTTACCTTGAGTAGTTTATCCTTGACTACTTTTCATTTGTTGTTATCATAACTATTTTTTACTTGTTGTTTCATAAATTACTTGCATAATTTTCCTCTCTGAATTTTTGGACTATTAAAATTAAAAAATGAGGGGAAAATATTTTAGGAAATATGATATATCTTTTTATCCAGTATATCCTGCAATCTTTAAAAAGTAGCAATATTCAGACTAATGCTATTTGGCAACATCTCCTGAAAAATAAAAACTAATTCTTGGGAAAAGCGTATTAAGACCTAAAATGAAGACTTCAATTGTAATTAGTAATTAAATTCATCAGATTTTAATGAATCTAAAAAGCATCAAGAAAATTTAATAAACCATTTGAAGTTTTTGAAGCTTTTTGAGGTGGAAAAAACTGAATGCCAAAAAGATTAAGAATAAGGATTAATTAATTTTTCTTTTTTGAATGGAATTATTTTCTGTATTGATAAGTTTCAAATTCCACATGAATGTAAATAAGTATGAGAAATTAACAATTTTTTTTATGGCGATTAGTAGTATACCACATTTTCTCAACCAGTTTTCCTGCTCTTAAAGCAGTGTTAAATACTTAAACTTTAGGATTTTGTAGTAACTCCTGAAATGCAAGCTTTCTGGATGCTAAATATTAGAGAATTTGATTTCTTTCTTCAATATTAATCAAAATGTATTAATTTTAGAAGATTCCAAGCCTCATTATTGAACATCTTTTGCACATTTTTCTCTTGTTTTTTAATCACTAACACTATTTGTCTTGTTGTGCTTTAATTTTCGAGTCTGTCTGATTATGTATATGTTATTTCTTTAAGTGTGTTGAATTAGTCTTCTTTGAATTCAAGTTGATGTGAAAGAAATGATATTGGGTATTCTGTGTGACATGTGAAGTCATGAAGTAATTTCACTGAATTTTGGTATTTTAAATATTGTTTCATTTTCGATGTAATGTATAGGATCATTTTAAAAATTCCCATTCTGTCTTGTTTAATTTGAGTAAGGTGGGAATATACCTTCCACTGTATTTTAAGCAATGTATGGATTTAAAAAAACACTTTTATTTACGGCTACTTCGTAAATATAAATTTCATATAAGAGCAAGATTTAAAAAATGTTTCCTAAGAGTTTTTATTAGTATTTAGTATATTGTCTGTAAAATGTGAATAATTAATGAATGAAAATAGTGCATGGACATTTATTAAGCAAATGCAAAGTATGTTTAAAGATATAACTATAGAATTTTTCATAGAACTTGTCATTCGCAAAAATATCGCTTTTCATCATTTTCTTCTTAACTGTTGTTTTATTGTTAATACACTAATATTTGTGAAAATTGCAACAGAATGAAGGAATTATGCAAATTGAACTAACTTTACAGGAAACGTAAAGTAAGACATGCAAATGAGTAAAAATACAAAGTGAATGCACATGCATGGAATGAGAACTGGCCACTTGTTCGATGTATATAAAGGACACTGTAAAGTTACATTGTTTATCATCCTCTGTCTGTGATGAACATTCAATTAGTGGTCAGTATGTCTCTTTAAGAGTGGAGGGTGCCATACTAACAATTAACGAAGTTTGAACAAGGCCGCATCATCAGTATGCGAGAGGGTGGACTTTTGTATCGAGCAATCGCAGCCCGCATGCAGTGTAATGCCACAACAGCCATCCGTGTTTGGAAGAAATGGGCAGAGGAGAATCAAACAAAGTGAAATGCTAGCAGTGAGGCACGCAATTGCACAATGGCATGGAACAATAGACACCTCATCCGCATGGCTGTGATGGATTGATTGTATAGCATCCTGTCGTCATGTAGCTCAGCATGGCAGACACCTTGAAGTACCGATTTCTGATGTTCATTTTTTTTTTTTGGTCTTTTAAATTTAATTGTTTATTTGTACCACTATTAGTAATTTGTGGAATAAATTTCAGTTATTTTCAACAATTCCTATATGGTGTTGCACTTTTCACAATCATTAGTGTATATTCACTGCTAGGGTATGAAAACAAAAATTTGCCAGAACATGAAAATGAAATGTTAACTAAGATTTCAACACACTCTGTTGCACGATAGGCTGTTAGATGATAACACTCCATCATGTCCTGGTGCGACTGGCAACAAAAGTATTGATAAAAAGCTGTTTCCTTATTTGTTTACAGAAATAATTTAATTAGGAAATTTTTATTATGCTTGAATTATTTTTATATGATTTCTTACAAACCTGACTGGAACATTAGGAAGAGAGGTATATTGCTCTTAGTTATTAGTATTCATAATTAGGATGTTAAGATTTTGTTTCTTTATTAAAAATTGTGCGTGATATGGAAATGCAGGAGGAATAATTTGAATAAAGTACTTTTTATAAAACTGATTATTACATTTATCAAAAATTAATGATAGTAAATTGGGTACTTTTCTGTTTTGCTGGCGCAGACGATAAAGTCGCCAATAATGGTACAACCGATGCCAAACGGAATATCCTCACTGGTAACCTTTTATGCCTCATTTTCAAAACAAATCGCAGCCCTTTCTTATCAGATTGATTGTTTCTTTCAATAGTGGCATACAATTACATAGAAGTTTTACCAGATAGGTCAATTTTATGCCCTAAGGCCATTCGCGGTAATTAAGTCAATTAGGATGCAATCACACCGCTCACCCGAAGGCGAAAATACAGAAAAGGCAAAGTCAAGAGTTAAATTCATCAATTCTAATGAGAATGCACTAGCAAAGTAAAGCACTGCGGTTTTACATAATTTCCGAGTAAGCTATTCTTGCAATTTGAAATAATTCTTGCATTTAAACTTGTATTCCAAACTAAGATTTAACCTGAAATTAATGTAATGTTACTGAGAGAATTAGATTTTTGTAGCATAGTTTACTTGAGATGAGATGATTTGGGGTTTTGTGGTGGTACAAACCGGCGAATGAGGATGTTGAAACATGAAAGCGTAGTAAATTCTTAAACTAATGTCTTTTTACCATTTTATTGTCTTTATTTATTGGCTTTGTATAAAATTTTAAATGCTATTAAAATGTTTATGCCTTCAAAATAAAAAATTCTTATAACTAACATTTGTTAACATTTTTTATATGTATATTGTATGTTGTCGCCAATAAAGTCTGCTTCGCAAGGTTTGCGCAAGCGAAATGGAAAAGTACTGTAAATTGTTATTAAAATTTTGAATTTTATTGAAACATGCATGCTGTGATGGAAGAGGAAATGATATCATTTAATGCATGATGCGGAGGAATAATTTCAGTGCTTTATTTTTATTGTTTCATTAATATTGTCCCCTTCCACCAAAAAGTATCGAACTTATCGGTATCTTCGGAAAGCATTTGTAAATTTGTTGGTGACAAATTATGGCTTTTATTTCAAACAAAAGCTGCAAATTATTAATCTAAAAGAAGACACTCTGAAAAATAGTACAAGATGAAAACTAAGGTTTGGGTGCCATGTAGATGTGAATGTTCTCAAATAAAATTAGATGTCCTGCATATTCACTTTATTGCAGTGAACTGGAATTGAACCCACTGCATTCTAAGATATGACTATAAAATGCAAGAGAGATTTATTTCATCTCATCTCAATTTTATCATATAAAGAAACTGATTTGCTGTTAATTAAAGTGTATTCAAATGTGTATGAATGCCTATAATTCTCTTGAAGAACGAATTTAATTTTGGTATTTTTCTTGGGGGGGGGATTCAAATCATATTCACAATTTTTATTCATGCATGTTTACTTTCAGTTTAAAGAACTTGCATTGCAGTTAAAAAGGATAGTTTCATACTTTTATCCTTAAAAGGGTTCTGATTTAAGTACATGTCTTATTATGAATATTTATATATTTATATAGATATTTTTATTTTAATAAATTGAAAATAGTATCTTAAATATAAATTATTTTATATGCTTCAGTGTGATTTTGAAATACCTTATAGATATTTTTGTAATCTTCTATAAAATCTGTAGGTGTTCAGTTATCAAATGAAGGTGAACCTCCATCAGCAAGAGAACTTCAGATCTGTACAACAGAAATTCAAGCCTTAGTTCTGAATTCCTTGAATAGTGCTGTTGCTGGGAAACTTATTGGTTCTGTAGATTATTTAAGAGAAAGCTTTGGTGGTTAGTATATAACATTTGCTATTAATATGAAAATTTTAAAATTCAAGACAGTAAAATGTTAAAGCGTTTCTTACTTTCTCATTAATTTTGCTGATAGATATTAAAATATGGAAGTGGGTGATGATCTAAAACATAACTGTCTGACAGAAAACAACAGTAAAGCATCTTTTGTTTTTCAATATAATCTTCCTGAAAATTAATATATCCTTTATGTGATTTTTTTTTTTTTTTTTTTTTTTTTTTTTTATGTAAGAAGTGATTCTTGTTAGTATCAAAAATATTTTATATCAATCTATTCGTGATAGCTTTAAGATACTTATCCTTCTGATAGCAGGCCCGCAGTGGCTGAGCAGTAAAGTGCTTTGCCTTTAATCCTTGAAACTATCCTCTTAAAATCCACATAATAGGCAACATTAGGGTAATATTAATTTATTGACTTCCACAGTCGCTTAACAGCTATTTAAGTGTCAACACAAATGCAAGTCAAACTGAAATCAGTAAAAGGATTAGAGCTTAATTTCTAAAATTAGAAGTGCTGGAGCCCTATGGAAGATTGTGAGGAAGAAAAGGGAGAAATGAGTAAATAAAATAGCTAAAAGTTAAAACAATAAATGTAAATTAATATTAATTAATTATAATTATTTAATTAATTTTAAATTAAGAAAAATGTAAAGAGATAAAGAGAAATCTAATAAATGACTAATTTTCAATAGTTATATGGAAAAAAAAAGTATTGGACCTTGTCTTACTCGGGGCAACTAGCCGTCAAGCAGAAATTGTTCCTGCATACAACTTAAGAATAAGCATAAGACTTCTCTGTACAGGTGACAGCAGTGGTCTTCCCATTCCCCATTTGGTTACATCATTGAGAAAGTCTACAGGAGCTCTGCAGTAGGAAGTTACTAACATGGAATGTGCACGACCAGGATATCACTTTTAGTTCTTTGAGGAGTACAAACTTTGCCCGCTGTCATAAATTCACTGCATACCCTGGAGAATAAGCCTTATCCTTAATAAGCCTGGAGAATAAGCCTTTTCTCTCCTTAAAAGTCTAAACCTCAATGCAAGGTTTGAGTGCAAGGAAAAGACAGGCTTGCATTCAGGAGTAGTAATAGATTTTTAAGGCATTCTTACTATTAAAACAAAATTTATGCGCTAAAACTGTGGTTCACTTACATAAAAGGAGCCCTTTTATTTAGGGCTTCGGCTGAAATTATAATTTATATCGAAAACAGAAGTACCAGAGCCGGGCTCTGGTGCAATTTAATCTCTGATAAGGTTTTATTTATCCAAAATGAAAATCTGTATTAAAATAATAACAGAAACTAAAACAATTGACAAAAACTAAAATGATAACAGAAACTAAAACAATTGACAACAACTAAAATGATAACAGAAACTAAAACAATTGACAGAAATGAAATGATAACAGGAATTGAACAATTGATTTGCCATATACAAAATATGATACTTTTCTGTTATCAGGAGTAGATTCAGAAATGTATGTATGTCGGTATGTGTACACACACACACACACACACACACACATACATTTCTGTTTCTGATCCCGGTGATAGAAAAGTACTCAAAATATTATAAAATGAGTCTACTTGTTGCTAGGATTTAAATACATATCTTAGTATACAGCCACTCACAAAAATGATCGGGCACTCTAAATTTTCATATTCTTTAATTATATATAAATTCAACATTTTTTATAGCAAATACATTTTTGAAAAGATGAAAATTAAATTCAAAAATCAATATCGTTTGTTTAAAGAAGAAAACTTTTCTCTCAAAAGTAATCGGACATTTTTAGTAACAGCCGAAAATGACAAAAACTTACACTGCTTCTGCTTCTTAATATCTTGTGGAATAACCTTTACACTTGTTCACTTCATTTAATCTTTTGGGCATTGACTCTGTAAGTTTTTTTTATTTTTGTGTGTGTTTGTTGTTTCTGGACTATTTTATATCACTTCTCTTGAATCACTGCTTTTAATTGCTGCCGTGAAGATATGCTCTATTTTTGAATTTTTGATTCTAGTTCCTGCCAAATATGTTCAATAAGATCTAGCAATTGGGGTGGTGCCTTAATTACTTCTGGACACTTATATAACAGGCAGAGTCTGACACTGGGCACAGTATGCTTTAAATCATTGTCGTAGTAGAATTTAAAACTATTTTGTATATTAAGTTTTTGTGCTGACGATGCCAAATTTCACTTCAAGATATCATATTTATACTCATCTATAAACTCTATATTACCAACAATGGAATGTGCCATACATCCCAATACCATAACTGCTCCTCTGCGATGTTTAACACTTGGTATTAAGTTTTGCTTCCAAATTTCCTTTTTGGTTTTTCGCCACACCAACGCTTGTCCATCTGAGCTGAAGATCTTAAATTTGTTTTCATCAGCAAATAACACTTTTTCCCAGTAGTCAGCTGTCTTTTGTTTCATCGATTTTACCAAAGTGAGTCGAAGTTTTCGTTTTTTTTTTTTTTTTTTTTACTGACATAAAATTTTCTCGTGCTACTAGCCTATGATATCCTGCAGATCACATTACTCTTCTTACAGTTTCTGGATTTACATATAATTCACAAAGTTCCGCAAAAAGTTTAGGAGCACTCAGTCTTAGATTATTTTTAATATTCCTTAGAATAAAGAATTTCATTGCATGAGATAACTTAGATGGATTTCCAGTCTTCTTTTGTTTTGAGTGTGATTCTGTTTCATATCATGCTTAATAATATCAAAAACTGTACAGCCACTTAAGTGAATAGGCAATTTTTCTAATAGGTTTCCCTTTCTCTTGATGCAAATCAATAACTAATCTGCGGGCTTTTAATGATCTTTCCTTTCGTAACCGAGCTATTGCAAGAAAACATTAAAATAACGAATATTTTCTAAAAAGAAAATTTGAATTATAAAAGCAAACAATTTTTAGATTTTTGCCTAGCTTCTTTATACTAATTCCATAAAATGTCATTTTTTTATTTTTTACAGATGATTTTAACTAGAAATTATAAAAAAGTCTGATTTATTTTGTGGTATCTTTTTCTTCCTTTCAGCCTATAACATTATTTTTTAAATTTACTATTTCATTTTTTCATTATTTAGTACAAGGAGAGATCTAAGAAAATATATATTCAAAGGGAAGATATTCTTTATTATTTTTCTGCAAAGCTTTTCTTCTATTAAGTGAAAATATTATTGCGCCCAATCATTTTTGCAAGACACTGTATATGCATATCTTAAGAGTTTGGGTATTTAAGATTTAAATATTTCAACACGAATGAAGAAAGGTACGTATTTAAGATTTAAATACCTAAACTCAGAACTAAGCTCTTAGTTCTGCTGTATCTCTAAATTCATAAAATGCTTATGGTGATTACTAGACTAGAGCTATTCATAAACATATCAAAGAATAATATTCAGCAAGACACAGCGGCAATAACTCCAATAACTCATTGCTAATATTAGCCTCCTATTTTCAAACTATGTTGCATGCCATTAAATTTACAGAATTATATAGTCTATGTGAATATTTCAGCGTAAGTGAAGAAAGGTAGGTTAGAGTTTAACTTGATTCTTAATTGTTACAACATTTGCTTTTAATTTTGTAGTTTATAAAAGCAAATGCTATATGTGTTCACATATATTAATTTCTTTTGCTACTTAAAAATGTATTTCATACTATATTGTCAACTTTTATATTACTGAAATTGTCAATGTTTATATTATTTCATTGAAAAAATTGTAAATACATAAATAATTAACGATAAGTTTGATTGTTATGTTCACTGTTGCTTTATTTCTTCAAGAGAACAACCATATGTGTAGACATATACTATGTAAGAAGATTTACTTTCAAATAGGGATTTGTTCACAGACTGAGAGTTTAGAAATACAATAAATATCGCTTATGTATTATTTAACTCAATGAGCTCATCTTACATTGCAGTTACGCTCTGCAGTGGCTTGAAAAAAGTATATTTTGACTTCATGAGAGAGAGTTGGCCATATTTAGTACTAATAGAAGCCAATACTTCAAAGCATTTTACAAAAATAATCATTTTATTTACAAAAACAAATCCGGAATGCATCGGTGGTTCTTTTTCTTCTACATTGTAAAATTGAACCAACATTCTTTTCTTAGAAGAAAAGCGCTATTGAATGGCAATACAAAATCATTTGTGGGATTTTTCAACAAGTCTGCCCAGATGAACTAAGCTTGCATTACAAATATGTGACTGATAGATATTGCACATATTTGGGAAGAAAGAATTGCTTAAAACCTTGCTATCCCCAAAGGGCTAATATGTTTTTCACTTTGCTTATGAATTAATTAATTGCAGTTAATTTAAACATTTAGAATAATTATATAGAACAAATTCTGAGGTCTGGATTAAACAATTCCAGATTTTAGATCAGAAGTTTAAATAAGACAACAGGCAGACATGTTGACTTTGCTTTGCGGCTTTGATTATTGTTTATGTCAGTTAGAAGAATGCTACCTCCCACCAACAGGACTGGTGGTTCGGGTGCCAGAATTCAGGAGCAGCAAAAATTTTAGAATTTAGAGAAGCACCAAACATCGAAAATTAGGTATGGAAAAATTGTGCAGCAGAATTTGAGGGTAGCAAAATTTTTAGGATTTAGGAAGGTACCAGGCACCAGAATTTAGTACCCTCAGGGAAGCGGATTGCACAGGATAGCAAATGCATGGTGCTGGTCCTAACCCTACTAAAATGCCAAAAGTGTGATCCTATACAATACCAATTGATGTATTGTTACTAACCACTATGCAATTCCTTAACCAACAGGTGTTCGAAAGTGACATGCTGAAATCTTCAGTTATTGTGGAGTAAAACATTTATGGCACATCTGCTTCTTTTTGAGTATTATATTCTCCATTCCTAGATTCTGTATAGGGGGAATTAAAAGAAAAATATATTTTATATGATATTTATTTTTTGACTGTTGTTCTGGAGATCTGAATTTCAGACTTTAATTTTAGTAGTTTTTATGTGCATTGCTTGTTAAATTTTTTCATAGATCTAATTTCATAACTGAAGAAAGTTCAGTGGGCTAAAATTTTGAATTATTTTGATGCATTAAATTTTTTTTTTTTTGATTCTTACTGGAAATTAGATTCTATAAAGTGTTTTTTTTTTTTTTTTTTTTTTTTTTTGCAGGAACTCTTGAGCGTTGTTTAATTAGTTTAGAAAATCAAAAAGAAGGCTCAGAGCCATCCCAAGCTAGCAATGCATTAAAACAAATATTAAATGCTGCATATCAGGTAAGAGGAATATGGAAGTGCAAAGTTAAAAATGTAAAGTTGATGTGAAGAAATGCTGATTTCCCCCTTTTAATTTTACATAATCTTTATTTGATCACATTTTTAAATGTAAAGTCAATGTGGAAAAATATTTTCCCTCTTATTTTATGTTCTTTTTTTTAATTAATGCTCAATTTTCTTTATTGATTATAACTATCTGATTGAATATGCAGGTAAAATATTTGGTAGTATATGCTACTAAATTTTGCAAGGAAATATATTTTATATAAAATATAATATAATTTTTCAAACAACATAAATGCTTTTAAGGGACTTTGAAAGAATGACATAGAAAACAGTGATATTGCCTAATTTAATACTAAAAAAATAAAGCTGTATTTTGAGAATTCTATAGTAGTATTATAATATTTCCAAATTTATAGCCCTGAATTAAAAATAATACAAACATTATATAAAAAATGAGATATTTTATATGTCTTATTAAAAAAATATTTGTGCTTTTTTTACCTTGTACTTTTTACTTAGTGTGTGTACTAAGTAAAAGAAGTGTTGTGATCGGGAAAAATTTCAGTCATCATATTTCAATGAAAATATCCATTTTGACTGCTCTTGAATCTATCTGAATGATGTTTTTGAATGACATCTGTATGTATGGACAGAATAAAGGTTTCTTTTTCCTAAAATGGATTCAGAAGTGATTTGTTTAGGGATATCTGTACATACGTATGCATGTATGTATCTCGCATAACTCAAAACTGAGTATCCTCAGGACGTTGAAATTTTGTATATGGGACTGCTATAACATTTAGTTGTGCACCTCCCTTTTTGGTTGCCAATTGGCCACACCAAAAGTATATAAATATATACATATATACATATATATATATATCCACTTCGTTACCTGGCGGAGTTCAGTTTTTGTTTATTATATGTTGGGAAATTGCACATTTTTTTTGCTTTAAGAGTTATTGAATCATGTTGTTCTTATGTTCTGGTTAAGGTTTTTATCCCTTTAAGTTAATCTGCATGCAATAGTTGTAAAATTATCAACAATTTAAAAGTTTTTTAAATGTGGCTAATCCTAACGGAGTAACCATTAGTTTACATTTGAACAGAGGCTTAGCTAGGGTTTTCAGCGCCCGGGGACAACTGGAGATTTTGCGCCCTTTCTGTTAGCCACGAATGGAAAACACTTTACTCTAAAATGCCACACCATCAATTTGGCGCCCCCTGGATGCTGCGCCCGGGGGCAGATGTCCCCCCTTGCCCCACCCTAGCTACGCCACTGCATTTGAAATAGCAGAACAGTGAATTAAGTCCGTTTCTGCACCTTCAGTGCCTTTTTGCCAAGTGAGACTAAAAGTAAACTTTCAGTTTGGTACGCAAAAAAAAAAAAAAAAAACTGCTTTCTTGCCTGCTCACCAAATTGCTTGCTTTTGTGTGAAAACTTTAATTTTAATTGTAAGAAAAAAAATTTAAACTGTTTTAACTCTATTTGTTGTTTTATGGCTTTTCTATATCTTTCAATTTTTAAGGAAGATGTTTTGAGTTTTTATGTATTTTTGCCTTGTTTCAAAGTGAGAACTGAATTAATTGAATGGCAAATATATCTTTGAAGAAATTCAAGAAAATAAGTTTAAATGAAATGCAGCAAAAAATTTGTATCCACATCAGATTTTTTCGAAAAATAAAATAATAATAAAGGAAATTAATGTTTAGTCATTTAAAATAATATATCTTTAAATTATTATTTTAGTTATGTTAAGTAATAAAATAAATACCTTTCCATAATATCTGCTACACTAAATATCGTAGAAATAATGTAGGGCTAGTGTTAACATTTTACTGTAGTTCACTGAAGCTAGACTTGGTAGCCATAAGTGAAAATTTGTAAATCTGTAACCTGCATTCCAGTTTAGTAGTTATGCTTTGCAGTTTAGTAGGTATTAAGTCACTTGCACAATCTCTGATTGGTTTTTTGAAGACTAATTATATGTGCATGTACTTACTATAATGTGCAAATTAATTGGGACAAAGTAATTTTTTGATAATTTATGTATGAATGTTCATATACAGTGATAATAATAAGAGATATGCCCTTCTTTAGCAGAAATGAAACCTAGAATGCACTTAAGCACTTTTACTTTTTAGCATTTAGCATTAATGTTTTTTACATTAAGCATTTTAGCATTCACATTTTTTTAATTGTTTTTAATCATGCATTCTTTTGTCATACAGTTTTTTTTACTAAGATGTTCATTAGGAATACATCACAAGTTTTTGATGAGATTTAAGTCTGGTGAATTTCCAGGTCATTCTAGCACAATAATTTTACTTTCCAACATGACCCTTCTAATTGTGGCACGGATCTGTGTCATGTTGAACAAGAATGCCATAATCCTGCATTTTAAACTTTCTGTGTATTTTGTTGAATTCATCATTCTGTCACTAGGAACTAGATATTCAGTGCCATCAGCAGTGGAAGTATCCCAAGAGTAGTTGTTTTTAGTGTATTTTATGGTTTGTTGGATATATTGAGGTCTTAAGGATTGAGCAAAATGGAAGCAAACCACACTTTTAAAGCATTTTTAATCATGCACTCTTTTGCTGTATAATCCATTTTGCTAAGATTTAAGAATGTGGAAGAAGTTTTCGATCAGATTTAAGTCTGGTGAATTTCAGGCCAGTCTAGCACAATAATTTTATTTCTCAAAATGAACCTTCTGACAGACTTTGAATTGTGGCAGGAAGCAGGGTTTTCAAGAATGGTATAATCTTACATTTTAACATGTTTGTATACTTTGATGAATTCATCATTCCATCAGTAGGAACTAGATTTCCAGTGCCATCTGTAATGTAAAAAACCCCAAAACATTTGCTTTTAAGAGTTATTTTACAGTTTGTTAGATAGGTTGAAGTCTTATTGATTCACCCTTGCTTCATTTAACTTTATTAGATGTGTAACCGTGAACAAAGAAACGAGTCTCATTGCTAAAAAGGACCTTTTTCCAGTCATTTGTGGTCCAAGATTTGTATGTTTTGGCCCACAGTAATCATTTTGTTTCATTTGACATGTAAAAAGTGGCTTTTAAATTGGCTTTCTGGCCTTGCGACCAGCACTGAGAAGTCTCTGCGGCATATTTGAAGGATGAATATCAATACCAATAGAAAACAGGAGAAGGCATCCAAAATAATGAGGGCTTGACATCCTGTTCAAGAGTTATAATATTTTTGTGAATTTTACAATAACTATTTGTCATGCCAACCCATTTTTTAAATTTTTATTATTATTGTTGCTGCCACTGATTTCTTTCCAAATAACAATTTAATCCAAACCTTTATTCTGAGTGAATTTTTTCTTTAAATGTTTGATCATTGTTTTTAAATATATATATATGTGATGTACCAGCTTTAGTCGTAGCTTAAATTATCAGACAATAAGTTTAAAAAAAAAAAAGGATCCATTTATTTATTTCAGTAGAAATAGCAATTCAAAATCAGATATCCGGATAAATAAAAAGAATTACTAATAACTTTTTGTATGAAGTTTACTGCATCATGACATTTAAGAAAAAGCCCCCGATATTTTTTTGCAAGTCCTTTTATAGCCTCTGGAAAGAAGGAGCTTCCAAGAAATGATGTAATGACGTCAACCTCGTCAGCCAATCCAGTTCGCTTTAAATATTCCAGAACATTCTATAACTGTCGTGTAAAAAAGGCGGAAAAACAACTTGACTACGGGGCTGTGGATTTAATTCCACGGAATTTCATATAAGAGACCGTCACCATAAAAAATGAAAAGAACAACAGTAGAACTTTTAGTATACTTGACTATGGAATTTTATTATTACAAATATATATATATTTAAAAAAAAAAAAAGTGTTGCCAAAGTAATTCTGGGATAAAAAGGTTCTTTCAGATAAATTTATAAGGGATTCACCCCCCTGAAAATTTTATGTTGGTTAAATTTTGTTGCTGTTGATTAAACAAATTTTCAACTTTCAAGGCTAATATTTTTTAAACGTTAAATTATTCATGGTTTTATTGTAAATTTTATCTGTTTTATCCTTTTCACTTTCTATAAACGTTGTAATGTTACTTTCATGGACTGTTTGTTTTTTCTTAGGTTGAAGTCACAGTGCGAACAAGTTCTTCATTGTTACGAGTACTATTTGAAAAAATGAAACAGGTATTTTGATTTGAAAATTCGTATCTTTGATTGCTGGAAAAGTAAAAGAAATGTGTTATTATATGTCAGTTTTATTTTTATCTAAACTGTATTGCTATTCTAAAACAATTACTCCAAAAATTTTAAGATGAATTTACATTTTATATAAATTTTCCAAATGTTTGAAGTTTTTCTTTCCTTAAGTAAATTATGTATAATTGCCCTTTTATTTTTTTTCTCCTTGATAACAACATTAAAAATTATGTGTTGCTATTTCAGTCTTTTCTTAGGTAAATTTTTTATGTACACACACACATGTATATATATTAAATTGCATAAAGTTTGCATTTTAAAATTGTAAATCAACTGAAAAGTACAGCAGTATTTTGCTGACAATATTTTTGCTGAATTAAATAGTCAGCAGTTTATTATGCTGGGTAAAGAAATGCTTTGATGTTACAGTCTTTGTGTTACCAAAAGATACTTTTTATAGTATATCAATTTAGTGTGCAGTTTTAATTGATTTTATAGTCACTCTTGCTTGGAATTTGGGAAAAGCATGCATGCAGTTACACAAACATGCGTACAGAATAATTATGAGAGTTGCATAATAATAATAGTTCCTTCCATAATTAAGATTTGTGGCACAAGTTTCATATGAAGTTGGTTGTAATTTCATAAAATTTTGTTGTTAACTATTTGTCAGAATTAAGAAATGATATAAAATATGCTTTTGTCATTTTTAAATATGTCTATCAGTTCATAAATAGCCTACCAGCAGCCAAGTAGTAAAATCGCTGAACATGGATAGTTCATTTCTGGGTTTGAATCCCAGCAAACAGACTGGCTGCGTGGCTGTTTTCTTGGTTTTCCCTATGTGTAACGTGTATACCAATAAGTTTCCATTGGAAAGTCCTCCATGAAGGTATTCCTCTCTTTAATCAGATAGGCCTCAGGTGCTTTGCCATAATCAAATAAACCAAAAACCAAAGTCATTTCTTAAATATCTTATCTTTTGAAATGGTTAAAGGAATGGATACTTGTTAGTTAGCTATCATTTTTAAACTCTGTTCATAGCATAAAATTATATCTAATAGAAAATCTTGCATAGCAAATATTTTATTAATGTGTGTGCATGGGTCTGTATTTCATTGCACGTATTTTGATGCAAACCAGTTCTTGCTATTTATGAGATGTAGCAAATTTTTTGTTGCCTTGTTAGCATGATCTTTAGATCTTTTAGAATGTCAATCATTGAAAAAAAAATTAATTTCATTCTTTTGAAAGATATTCAAAATGCATCTCTGAAATTATTTATCTCTGAAAACATCGTTATTCATTTTGAGTGAGTCTTCATTTATGCAAACAAGCAAAAAACGCTTCTTGCTATAAAGTGCATTCTTCTCCCAATTTCATTTTATAAATGCCCAAGTAAGTATTTCCTAATACATATGTTGTTAGTTATTTTAATTATTAAAAATATTTTGTAATCTGAAAATTTGTGTAATTTTTGTCTTGTATGTTTTGTTTAATTAATTTAATTGAGTGATTGTCTCTGAGTATTGTACGGGCTTCTTGCATGTGATTAATCTAACCATTAGAGTAGTTATTCTCTTTTCTTGCATGCAAATTATTCTCAGTTCTTGCATATTTCTTGAAATTGTCTATAAGTAATGCATATTAACCCAAGTGGCCAAGCTTTTGTCTGAGAAAGTCCAAATTTCCCGAATTGCTGTGAGAAAGATATATTTTCTTGGTTGTAATGCAAAAATATCTCAAGAACATTATATAACCTGGACTCTTTTAAAATATTTTTGTATTTATTATATATATATGGCTTGAATGAGCAAAGGGTTAAATTTAAGGACTTATATGGTTGCAAATTTTAGTATTAATTTTTATGTAGGGTACAGTGTTTCTTCCCATGTAGAATTTCAGATAGAATTTCTATGTTGTAGATTAAAAAACTAAGTTGTTTGAAAGCAATAGATGCAGTTCTTAAGAGTATTCAATTTCGTATTTTTGAATCAAATTGATTTAAATAATAAAAATGCATTTAATTCGTTATCAGTCTAATTTAAAATATTGAGTATTTTCATAGAATGACGTATTATAATTATTTATTGTTTATTTAATATTAGCCATGTATCACTAAATGACATTTATTTTAAAACACTTAATTTGTTTATAATATGAAATAAAGCTAAATTATTATGTTTAAAATATTAAATAATGCAAAAGAAAAGTATAACTTGGTTAAAAAAAAGGAAACAAATTTTGAAAATATTTAATGTTGTGATCAATCACATTACTACTATCATTATCAGTAATGGTTCATCATCATGAAACTGTTTAAAACCCTCTTTTTAAAAAAAATGTGGTTTGAATTCAAAATTATAAGAGTTGTTTTAATCTAATCAATAATGCTCTGAAAAATTGAAACATATGGTCATAAGTATAATTTCTGGTGGATGGGGCGGAGAGGTGATAGTACTTTTTTTTGGTCGATTATCATCGGATGCCTAACTTAAACAGCTTGATTCGGATGATTGAGTTATTGGCAACTGAGGTTTGCAGTGCTAGTCTAAATTCTATTAGTTCAAAATGAACTCTGTGGGCAATTTTTTGTCAAACACTCAATGAAAGTTTTTGAAGTATGCGGAGTCCTGTTAGGTGTTACACCTGACCTGAAAAAACCATTGGCTTTTACATATGTTGTTAACTTATAAAACTTCTCATTTTCAGTGACAGTTTAGTGAAGAAATTGTTCTTTTTCTTGTATGTTGAGAAAGGAGGAGTTGCAAACAGAAGAAAGCTCGATCTTCTTGGCAATTGAGAATTCATACGAGGGTCAATCAAAAAGATAGTTGCCCTGCCTAAGAAAACAAAACAGAAGCAAAATTTTACAATAACTTTATTTATATCTTAAAGTTTTCCATTCAACATCTACTTTTCAATGTAATTACCTCCATTATTTAAGCATTTGTCAAAGCGTGGTACAAGTTTTTCGATGCCTTCTGCAAAGAAATCCCATCCAATGTCCAATAACCATTGTTGAGCTGCAACTTTCACTTCGGCATCCAAATGGTACCGTCGCTTTGAAAGTTCTTGTTTCATGGGACCAAACACATGGAAATCAGGAGGTGAAAGGTCTTGGCTGTAAGGAGGGTGATCCACACTAAACTTTTCAGAAGTCACACTTTTTTTTCCTCATTCAGTCTTGCATGTCTTGAGGAGCACAATGCCGTCGACATAAAGGCCGTCGATTTTAAGTGATTGTCGCAATTGTTTTAGTGTTTCACAATAGAAAGATCATTAATTTGCACCCTCGGCAAGAACTCTGTATGCACCAGCCTCTCTGTCGAAAAAAGCATCATCATCACCTTTGCGCAGATGAAACAGTTCGAACTTGTTCATGTTCGTGCATGTTTCCATCGAGAAGCTGCTTCATTTAGGTGAGAAGGTAATCAGTTCATCTACATCACAATTTTGTCCAAAACTCATTTCCTTCCATTTGGTAACGTTGCGAAGCAAATGCACTTCAAACGCTTTCTTTATGTTCTCCGCATAGATGCCACCTTCGAGCACAAACTTTACGAAATTTAAGGTGAACAGGAATAATTTTATGCACACTTCCATGACAAATATCTAGTTCATTTCAGATTTCGTCTATTGGGATGCGTCTATTTGCAAGAATGCATTCATTCATGCGAGCAGCGATTTCCGAATTTGTTGCAGTTGATGGTCTTCTCTCACACTCAGCATCGTCAATATCTGTACATCCATTCTCAAATATGTTGCACCATTTTGTGATAGTATTTTGTATTGTTACCTTTGCAAGATTCATGCAGAGGTAGCAATGCAATATTGGCAATAGTAATGATGAGTTTCTATTATTTATTTTGATATCTCCAGAAGGGAGAGGATTTTTTTTTTTTTTTTTTTTTTGTGTATATTCAATTATTTCATTGTGCTAGAGCAAGACTACTAAAATGCCACAGATTGGCATTTTTTACTATCAGTCTAATATTTTCAGCTGGATTTCAAATGATGATCGAAATGTTTAATATAAAATGTAACATAGGCTTTCGTTTATTAGATGTAATTAATAAATTTACTGATAATTTATGGGAGGGGGGTCTGTATCATTAAATAATACTGTAACAAAATGTCAGAATGCAGTGAAGAGATTTTACAAGCAATATTACTGGTGCCTGAATGCTACAAATATTTACAAATTTCAGTTTATACTTGGTCGAGTTCCTAATATGTCAGGTTCCTGTATGTATAATTACATAAAAATATTTGAATACTGGAGTTCTTCTAATTGTTTCTTTATATTTATTTTATAGAATATAAAGGCATTTTCTAATAGTTAATAATTAGTGCTTTTGAATGCAATTTGGATGTTTTCTCTAACCACTACTTTTTTTCTCACTGTTAAATGCTTTTGAACTAATAAAGTGAGTGGTGGTAAGTTTGAAGCATTTATCTTGCACCTTTCTTTAAATATCTAGTATGTACTGTATTAGAAGCTTCTACCAGATTTCTTTTAGTAATAGCATAAATGAATGCAATTTGGATGTTTTCTCTGATCATTACTTTTCTTCTCACTGTTAAATGCTTTTGAACTAATAAGGTGAGTGGTGGTATGCTTAAAGCATTTATCTTGCATCTTTCTTTAAATATGTAGTATGTACTATATTAGAAGGTTCTTCCTGATTTCTTTTAGTAGTAGCATAAATGATTGCTAATCATAAGAACTTCTGCATAGTTCTTGATTGACCTTTCTGTTAATTTTACATAAGAGCTATATTTCTGAAATATTTATTATGTATTTATAATGCTTCCAGGTTATTTTCTATTAGTTAAATAATTCTTTGCACATTTTGAAATGTTTCATAGAAGTGTAAAACAAATACATTTCAAAATTGTTTTTAAAAAGCCTACAGTTTTTTTTTTCCTTTTTTCACTTTTTAACATATAAAAGTTTAGGAAGCATAAATAATTTATGCATAATGTTTGTTAAAATATCTTCTGTTACACAATGTTATGGAAATAATTTGTAAAGAGATATGCCATAGGAAAAGAGAATTATTCATTTTAATAAATATCTTTTTCATTCAGACTTTCTTTCAGTTTGACTTGTTATACAAAAGTCTATTAATTTTCCTTGAAATCTCTTTGATTTTTTTTTAAACATTTATTGCTTACAGGGCATTATTAGTTGAATGAGATGTCATTCAGTAAATTGATTATTTGTAAAAAAACATTCAGTATTTCAGATTTGTTGTAGGGAAATTTGTCTTTTTCAAGCAAAACAAAAAAGTAAAGTTTTAAAAATACAGCTGCTATATTTGACGCCTGTTTTTGTGTATAATAAATAAATTATTCTTTAGAATAATAATTTATTTACCTAATAAACATTTTATCAATAGGAACTCTTAAATTTAGAGTTCTTTCTTGTTCCGATTTTATACTGTAGACTTTTTTGTCAGCTTATTTTGCTGTTTTCTATATATTTGAATACATTCATATTTCAAATATTTCGTGGTATTTTGTTTTCTCATCTATTTTCGTTTTCGAATGTTACTCTGTATATGCCTTCAGTATATCGCCACTTTCGGTATATGCCTTCAGTAAACAGCCACAAGCTGTTTGTTTTAAAAAATCTGTGAAAATTTGTGTCTGAATAATTTGGGTATATTTATATTAGAAAAATTGTCTTTTGAGCGTATCTGTCTAGTAGGCCACAAATCTCTAAAAGCTCATGCTTGGAATTTTTAACTAGCAAACCTAACTTTTTGTTGCTTGAATTTTAGCTGTATGCTTAATGAGCGGGTTGATTTATTTTCTTAAAATTCAATTTCAATCCTTTTTGGCAGAGTTTTTTGTTACTATGTGCTGAGGCTCCATGACACTGTTTTGGAAGCCATAATCGATGCTTTGCATAAAATTGGCATAATTAATAAGCCTTTTTTTGATTGTTGTGTTCTGAACAGTTATGTATTCATTATATACTGTGGTTTATATTTCCATCACTGGCATAAATTAGCTTTTAATGATATTGTCTTCCTTTAGAAAGTTTCTGCTCTTCAGTGCTCTAAAGATTCCCCCAAACAGCCCAACAAACTATGGGGTTATGATATTCATACACTGAAGATTATGTCTGAATACCCATTTTTAAAGAAATCTACATCTGACAATTTCTTATCTTTGGTAAGGCAATATGAGGCTATTAAATCTCTTAGGGTTACACTTATGCACAAAATTAGACAAATAAGATACTATAAATAATATAGGTAATATAAATGGATAAATAATTTTATATATATTAGGTTATTTTAGCTTTACTCTTATCTTTTTCAAGTTAGTATCATATTGATTATTGATGTTGTAATTATGATATTTTAAAATTTTAGAGATGCCAATTATCAGGGTTTTATGTAATTATTGCTGATTTCTATTCTCTGTTATGGAATTATGGATGTGATAAATATTCCTTTGGAAAATGGCAGGTTTCAATTGCATGGTTGCTTTGTGCGAGTGAGCAAATTGAATGATGTAGTATAATTGTGTTGTTGAATTGTTGTTGTATTTTGTTGTTGTGATTGATATTTCGTATTAACTCCAGTGACATAATAATTAATATGCCATATCAACCCAAACCGTTGCACACATGGCAAAATACTCATTTTAGCTTGATAAAATCAAGTGACTTGTTAACAACAAGTACTAAAGGAACTTAAAAATATACTAAAATAACCCCTGCACCTGGTCCATTTGGTAGTTTTGTTTAAATTTAGAATAACAAAAACTCTGATGATGTTAAAAAAAAAAAAAAGGTGTTCCAAACAAAGGGATTTTGTCTATCCAAATCGCAAACTCGTACATTTCTCGTACATTATATACAGCTATGCTATTTCGTATCGTAGTGTTACATTATTATTTTCTATTAATTTATTGTAAGTTTAA